ATATTTTAATTTCCCCACTTAAGCCTACTAATTATATTTTAATAAAGCTTGGTCATTTTTTTCTTCAACTTATACTAATCAATTCTTTTAGAAACCTTTACCTTTCGGTGGATACCTAAATAGTGAGATGATAGCTCAGAGCATTTAGGCAAATTTCTTGTATATCAGGTAAGGCAACCATTCACAGTAGTGTAGCATATCTTCCAATTTGGCCTTATTGAATGACATGATTGTTATTAAAAATATTTTTTTCGTTTTTTTTTTTTTTTTTTAGGCAGAAAAATTTTTTTTTTCTTTGCTAAAAAAAAACCATTTGATTTTTTTTTTTAAATCCAGAAATAAAATACACCAAAAAAATTCAAAGTTAGTCTTTTTTTAAGCTATAATTTATCCTAATTACCTCCTCCCAATAAAACTTATGATTTCAAATGTGCATTTTGGTAAATTTCTAGACTAAAATAAAATCTAAGAAGTATTAAAATTACTTGAAGGATAATGTTGTGCCACTCTTTTAGTTTCCTAAATCATCACAAATAAAAGAGTACATGTGTATTCTCTATCCTAAAAGTTAATTATTTTGTGTTACAGTGGTATAATTATGAGGCATGTTATTCCATAAATTTTAATGTTTTGACTATCGATAATTTCACCTTTTTGCATATGAATAGAATTTGTTTAATATTTTTAAAGTAAAAAATTAATTTTAGACTTAAAATAAAACACCAAAAAAATCCCATTTTCATGAGGTTTTTTTTTTTTTTTTAAAATTAATTTTTTACCAATATTTATGTTCTAAAGACTATATTTTAAGCAGAACAAGCTCTCAGCGAAAACAGTACTGCATTATTTGTAGTCTGATTTTTATTTATTATTTGCTTGATCATTATGTGTAAAAAAATTTTTTTTGAATTGCAACTGCAAAAAAATAATAAATAAATAAATAAAAGTTAATTTTTGAAAGAAAGAAATATTTCACTGGTTAATTAAAACATAAACAAATGCTGATCAAAATGTTCACTTTATTAAATCCTTTTTTTTTTAAATTTAATTTGTTTGTTTTTTCTCTATATTTTAATTTTTCTATTTTATTCTTAATTTTTTTTTATTATTTTCATTAAAATACTTATCTGATTTCTTTTTAAAGATATTTAGCTCATATTTAAAAAATACATGATAAACTGAAAATGTTTTCTCTACTTTTCATAAAATTTAACTTTTTTTTCTTTATTTTAACTATGTTTGTTGCATATGAGAAGTAATTGTAAAATGAAGTGTTAAAATAATTTTTTAATGTCCCCACTTTTGATGCAAAAATAGGAAACTTCATTTACATTTTTTACAAAACTTTGTTTTTAACTTAGTTCATTGGAGATCTCAGAAATTATTGATCTAATTTCCATTTTGCATTTTAAACATATATTAGAAAACCTGTTTTTTTTTTCTTTTCTTCGCTATTTTTTAACTTTTTTAGTTATTAAACATAGAAATAGGTATGTCTTTAAAATTTATAATATATTTTAATTACATTGTTATATATATATTAAAAAAAAGAAGAAATATTTGAACTATATTTGTGATTATTTTCAAAGGGCTTAAAGTTTCCTCTTTTCCATACCTGATAGAACTTATTTATTCTTTAGTATTTATAATTTTCCCATTGAATCTCTTTTATATAGTTTCCTTAATAAAAAAAAATAAGGATTTTAAAATATGCTTTATATTTAAAAAAGAATTAGGTATTATGAGACTATAAGCAAATGTTTTGCTCATACTCATTACTCTACATTAAAAAAGGAAAGGAATTTGAAATTAGATATGAGATATATTAGATAACTCTATTATAAATGTTTTGCTTGTACTCTCCCACATCCATTATGTCCTCTGGAAGTCCTTGTACTAAGCCTCCTATGACTAACTTAATCGACAAAACACCACACTAGAAATGTCAAAAGATTTTAAATCTTTATATTATTCCAGAATGTTGTTTTGAGAGTATTTTATAATTAGTATAAGCTGAGGCTTAAGTAAGCCACATAGATTCAACTTATACAAGGTTATGTTTTTTGTTTTGTTTTTTAAGAAAAGTGATATGTTGGCACAAAGTGTTAATAATCTTCGAAGCTATCTTCATAATCCGTCCATCTAATCTCACTTAGCACAGGCACATTTTTTGCTCAGACTCTCACACATGATCACTGGAAGAAGCCTATTTTAAACCTACTGTTAGCCATGTTGTTAAAACATTTTTAGTGGAATCTGAATTTTGTTCCTCAGGGCAGAGAGAAGTTGCTCAGAGCTAGGCCTGGATTATGGCAGTATTGTCATGTTGGGCTTCAAAAGAAACTTGTTACAGAAAAGAATACTCATGACCAGCAAATGGCCATGATGTAACAGTCATTTAGCAGAGTGCTTTCACTTTTGGTTGACCAGTTTCTTTTATCTTACCTGAACATCAAAGTAGTATACAGAATTTACTGTTGGTTCTTTTTATTTTATTTTATAACCACCATCGAACAGCCGGCCCAATTTTTGGATCTGCGACTACTAGTGTTCAACTCCATCATCTTGTCATTCTGAGCCCAATCCAGAAAACAAGGGAACTCCTGGATCAAGTATTGGGAGAAATTAACCTTTGTGGGGGGCTTTTAGATGGAACTAACACATATTAGCGTTACATGGAGAGGAAGACCACGAGAACCTCCCACGGTTATCCTGACAGCAAGGGGACTCTAACCCGTGATCCTTCTACCACTTGGGATATTTCACGCCAGCACTGTGGTCGGTGCAAGCCTGATGTGGAATTCGTATCGACCCGCCATGGGCGGGATTCGAGCCCAGTTCACCTCATTGGAAGGAGAACGCTCTATCCCCAGAGCCATCACGGTTCACTTAGGGTGAAATACTATGTTGAAGTCGAAACAGACATATCTATATTTTTTCTGATTCTGACCGTGCCCGTTGCACTTTGACGCATTGTCTTTGGATCATATATAAATGTCCATATTTTATCACCGTCTTTAGTGCTGAAGTTGGTATCACCCACCAGTCTTTATAGCCCGATTTCAACATGGTCTCACCGGCTGGAGCAAGATCTTGATTGAGAGTTCCCTCTTCGGATGTTGTGCTTTGCCAAAGTCTCAATAGAGCAAAGAGGTATGTGGCTGACAAAAGGCTTACCCATGATGCAGCATTAACAGTTTGTTCTTTTAAACACTGTTAGAACATAAAAAAAATAGGCTATTTTTACTCTTTACATTTAATGATTTGCACCTTCTACGATTTTAGGAATGCTAAGTGTGCCATTTGTACTCTATTGCTTGGTTTTTCTTTAGGTAAACACAGTTTGTTGTGTTTAGGATTGGCAAACATGATGAGGTTGTTGCAAGCTTTTCTTTGGATAAGCATGGATCTCACGTCCTTCAGCTGTCTTAATGATCCTTCTTACCCACCAAACTTAATCGATGACACCAATCATTCAGTTTTGCGAAAATGCATGGTGTCATTTCTATTGGGGTAATTGTTGTCATTTTGCCATTGAATACTGCATTTTGTTATAAAAATATAGAATTATACTAAATTAAAAAAATAAAAAATGCAATAATGTATTGTACTGGCAGCAAAACTCGACATTACCCAACTTTTTTAGATTAGCTGAATTTCAATTAATTTTGCATGTTAACACTTCTTGTGCACTTTTTCATAGACCCGTTGGAATTTAAACACAGCAGCATTTATCAATAACGAAACTATTGCCTCAGTCGTTTTCTTTTATGCAAGGTTCTCTTTTCACCACACCTTTTAATTTGTACAAAATTTATACAAATTAATTCCCCTCAGCGACCACAAAAACTATGTATTTCATACTAATAAACATACTTTAATACTTTTTGCTTAATTTTACTGTCGCTTTATTCTACATAACGGTATAGTGATAATAATTATTTTAGTATTAAATACAACTTTTCAAACTTCCTTTGCTAATAAAGTATTTATATTAATAATATATATATATCAGTAATATATATATTTTTTAATTAGAAAAATTCATAAAAGATTTGTAAAAGTAAGAAAGAAATTGCATTTCAAGTGTAAAAGAAGCATTTTTAGACGCTGACATGAATATCACTTGTTTTAGCTTATATTCAGCAGCATCATATTTTAATGGAGTATGGATACAGATTTATTAAGAGAAAAAAAAAACTATACACTGGTTTTTTATTTGTGCTAACCGTACTAAATCAACTTAAAATGGTTTATAAAAGAACCGTCGAAGTCATTATCCTCCATCCTCATATAAATTGTTTTACATATTTGAAAGCAAAAAAAAACTATATTTAGTGAGAATCATTGAGAATTGTGGCTTTTTGTAAGGGACATATTAGTAAACATTATTTTTTTATATGCCTAGATTGTATATGCTTTTAAATTTTTTATAATAATAATAAGATGAATCTTAACATATAGTAATTACATATAAATTTCTTCTGTTAATTGCTTTAAATAAAAAAATATGTAGAACTATGTCAAAATATGTAGAGATGTTTTGCTATTTGTTTATGTGTGCAGTAAATTTATTTAGAATTATAACCTAAAAAATATTTGATGGAAAGCATTTGATTTTTTATATTATTTTGTATTAAGGCCATTTTTTGTAAGCTAACAGGAACCAACCAGGAAAAAAAATAATAATTGTTTTTAACAGGTACTATAATTCTAATATATACATATTTAGATTATTTTATCAGTCAGAAACGAACCAAGGTTATATTGTTAGAATTATTGCTTTTAACTTTAAATAACTTAAATCAATATTACCAGGTAGCTATTATGTTCTAGTAACTTGTGATACTCAAATAATCTATTTTTATTTAATTTCGCAAGTTACTTAAAATTAATTTGATTTCAGTTCCTTCTATGTATTTTTTTTAAAAAAAATTTCTATATAACGTGACATTTTGCATGAAATTTACATTATTTAATTTTTTTTCTTATTTATTTAGATCCTACAGAAAAAAGGTCATCTTTTCAAAATATAGGCTTACTTGATTGTTTTAAAAAGAATCAGGAAACCTTTGAATCTAGGAAAAAACTGCACTCTAAAACTAAAAACAGAAATTTACTGAAGAAAAAAACTGAATCTGTGGACTTATTATCTTCTTCATGTGATAAAAATATTTATAGTTTGCCTTATTCGATGGAAGACACGCCGGGACGAAATGTTCAAAAATCTGAATTCACAGCTGAAAATGAAGAAATGTATTCTTCTGAAATGCAGACTGGATCTGAATTATTTGAAATTAGCAATATTTCTACAAAACTAGTTGCAGGACGTAAAAAATTCAATATATTATCATTATGGAAAAAAAGTCACATTAAAGTTTTGAAAAATCTAAAGAACTCTCATTTTTCTGATAAAAGCAACCCTAAATTTGCTTATGATATTATAAAACCAAATCCTCAATTTGCTCTGAAGATAAAAAAGCGTTCAAATGAAAAATCTAAGTCATTAAAACATATTGAAATGTATGTAAGTGACCAATCTCCCTATACTCCAGCCACTCGCCATATTACTAAAAAAAGAAAGTGCTTAGGCTCACATGAGGGTTCTGACCAGTCATCTTCTAATATTCTAAATTCATCTGAAACTTTTAAGTCAGAACTACATATTCAATCTGATAAAAATAAGAAGAGTTCTGTTAGTTTTAGCGGGTGTCATTCTTCTCCTAATTTCAATATGTTAGATTCAAATTCATATGATGTTTGTGGGAATAAAAAATCCAAATGGCAGCCTATGAATGAAATACCAGATCATAGACATAAAAGTCAAATTAATGACGATAAGAAATCCCGTGAATGTGAGACGATTTCACAAGTTGATGTGGATGAACACAGTCTTCAGACATTAGCTGATGATCAGGCATCCAATTCTATTCTCATATCAGCTGAATTTCAAGAGGAGATCATTGATAATAATCAGGTAGCCTTATATACTGATGATAATATTCCATCATTGGCTTCTCCTATTAAAATTAATTTGTATCAAAAGATGTGTGATAATTTGGACGCTTCTCTCTATCCTAGTCACATTGATAAATTATCGGTAATAAAAACTGATTGCCGCAAAAACAGTTTGAGTATGACTCAGAATACCACAAGCAAATGTAAATTTAAAAAATCGAAGATCTCCAACAAAGAAATTAAAATTATCAATTCTGAAAAATTAAATGCATCTGATGAGGTTAAATCTTATGACTCAATATATGCATTAGAAAAGAAACATTTAGAAAATGAAAAAGGAAGCACCTGTTTTATAAAATCGCCACAATGTGTGCCAGAAACTAACGTGAAGGAAAAAATAGATTCCACAGTAAAATTTAATTCAATGTGTGCTGAAAAGGAAGTGCGGGATGATGATTCTCCTGAATTATTTATAAATACTGACATTTCCGATTCTGAAGACATTAATTACCCATCACATGATGATAAAAACATGAAAATGGCAGCTAGCTTTCCAGAAAAAAACATTTATGGCAAGGATAGTCTAACTACTCACACTAAACTTGCTGACAATGATATGATTTCATTTAAACATGGTGAAGCTGGTGTGAATTCTCACGCTCTTGATAAAGCTCTCCCTAGTGATATTACTGAACATATTGGAAGTATTGATTTCTCATCCTTCCAGTGCAAATCTCAAAAAATAACTAAGGATTGTTCGGAGAAAATTGTTGAAATTAGTCAAACATCTCCGATACAAGGCCTTTTTGAACACCATAAAACTTTTCATTCTGTAGACCAAGCTAATGAGATAAGAACTGTAAAATCTACTTCTAAATGTGCTCAAATTGATTGTGAGATTTCTAATGATTCTGCTTCCGATATCGCTGTTAAAAAATTTGACGGCTCTTTTAATTTTCAAAGTTTTTCTAAAGGCAAGACAGATCCTCTTGTTAATTCATCCTGTGATAAACGTAACTCTTTAAAAGTAGCTGATAAAAGTGAGTCAGCCAAGTCTAGTCATAGCAGTGGTAATCAAGATTATTTAAGTGAACAAGATATAACTGATTCCAAAGATCAAGCTAGTCTATCGAATGCTGGTGAATCCAATGCTAAATGGATTCAGATTGACTCTTCAGATGATTGTATATCTGTAGTCACTGCAAAAAACTTTGATTACTGTTCTGATACCCAAAATGTCTCTAATAGTGACATCAAAAATAAAAATATGCCTTTTGTTTGTTTATCATCTACAGGAAGTATCAAAAATAGTTCAATAGATCTCCTGAATGGTAACAGTCATAAAAATAGAGACAATATTAAAAATGAAGAAATTGTGGATTGTGAAGATGAAGTAGATATGACTGAAACAGAAGAATCCGTTGCTAAGTGGTTTCCAATTGAGTATGAATCTTCAAATGATTCTCCTTCTAAAACTGACATAGAAGAATTTAAGAGCTCTTTTGATGCTGTAAATTCAAATTTTTCATTTAAGATTTCCTTGAATTCATCAAGTAAACAAGATGATGCAAAATTAAAAGACTCTGTTTTACAAGAATGTTCATATAATGCAATTGATTCAAACATTGGACATGATATTACTGAACCAGTCATAAAAGACAAAAAATTGCTTTCCCCTGATTCATCTCTTGAGTCAAATGGCTTAGATTTAACAAAAAGTAGTAAGGTCGCTGATATTAAATCTGCTCAACAACAAAATACACACTCAGTTAATGCTCAGAAAGATAATCATTTAGTTATTTCAGCAAATACAGCTGATGGTCTAACTTTAAAAGAAGACTTCAGTACAAGAAATTTAGTTCGAAGTACCAGTAGTCAAATCTGTTCATTCAGTGATTCATCAGAAAATAAAAAGGGTTTGGAAATCAAAGTCTTAGAATCAGATAGGATGTCTGATTCTAAAATAGGACATGACATTAGTGATGCAGTTTTAGTAGATGAACATTCATTTTCCTTTGATTACTTTCCTCCTGCACCAACCTGCTCATATTCAACTTGGGAGCCTAAATCTTCTGAAAAGGTAATTGCCTCTCCTCATATTGATAGAAATAATTCTTCAACCTCAGATGAGACTTCGACTTTAAATAAAAAGAAACAAAGTCCAAGAAATAGTGATAACTTTGTGCCGTCCATAGAAATGTTTTGTGATGACAACACAGTCGAAATAATTGAAAAAGTGCCATTAGTTGATGTACAAAAGGAAGATATAGACAAAAGAGCTCTAACTGTTACATCTAGCAATGATCCATTAATCGAATTACAAGATGTATTGTTTGATTCAGCTATTGGACATGATACATCAAACATATCAAGTAATAAGCTAATCAGCTCTGTTGTAAATGATGATAATACTGATTTGCCAACTAAAACTTTAAGTGAGACTACACTAAAAAAACGCAACAGCATTCACACTGCTGTTGTGGATGAAGAGTGTTTATCTATTAGTTCACAAGAATTATTTCCAGATTTATATGATGCTTCTGAAGATAAAAACTCAACTGAGCGTATTGTTCTAGAAGATAACATAGTTTCAAGTTCTGCTGTTTCCTTCCACAAAAATAAGGATTTGGTAGATGCCCAATCAAACTCAAAAGTGATTGACAAAAATACTTCAAGCTCATCAGACGAGATGATTAATGAACAGCCATTGGCTTTTTCATCAGTAGATGTCACTTTCTGCAAAACTCCAAGAGATGCACTGTCACTTGCTGCAAAAGGTAACGTTTAATTTCTATTTTTGTATAGAATTGAAAGCCTTGTTAAATATATGTAGTTATTTTCTTCCAAAGCAGGTTTTAGTAAAATAAATTCTTGTAAATTAATTGTCTTTACTAGTGTTTCAATAGCATATGATTTAACAATCTTAAAGAGTCGAACCAGTCTGTTAAACTTCAAAAAATTGTTTTAGATAAGCAATTAAAATAACAGATGTTCAAAGATTTTTTGTTGTTGTTGTTAGATTAACTTAGTATTTTCACCAATCAGTACAAATGAAACTTTCAAACACGCCTTAACTAGCAGTCCGAATGTGCTGGTCTAGCTTTTTTAGATATTTTTTTCCAGCATTAAAAAAAATCTATAAGTTATTTTTTAAGTTTTTACTGTGTATATATCAGGATAGTGTACATTATTTCTTCCAAAAAAAAAAAAAATNACATTATTTCCTCCAAAAAAAAAAGAAATATTGATTTATAAGAGTTCTGCAATGAAAGAGGTTAAAATTACTCAATGCTCATTTTTAAAACAATTTTGAAAAATGATTTCCAAAAAAATTTCTAATCATAGTTTAGGTGTTTAAAAACAATGTCATCTACAATAGAATAAAATTTTCTGAAACTATATCATTTAAATTATATTTCTGAATTTAATTTTAAAAATTAACAAAAAAATTTTTTTAATATTAAATTTTTAATCTTTTTGTCAGTAAATTTTGAAGGCTAATAGAATTATATTGAATTTATTTATATATAATTGATACTAAGCTATGCTTAAAACTTAAAAATAATGTTGATATTCCTGTTATATGAAATTTAAATAGTGTTTAATTTTTTGTACCTAATACAATAATTTTTTTATATGTTTTTATTTGTAAAAAGATTCCAGCAAAGCTTGAAATTATATGATCAGAAGAGGCATTTGCGAATATTTGTTTCTTATAGTAAAAAAGTTGTTTCTTGTAGTAAAAGTTAGGTATTTCTGATGTCAGTTAAAAAAAAATAATATATTTAAACTGTGATGCTTTAGTTTTATGTAATGCATACAAGTGTTGTGAGAAATTATTTAGTTTTTTAAATTTTAATTTACATAATTCTTTTTTTTCTTTAGGTAAAATAGATGAATCAACTCTATCATATAGAAATGAAACAGAAATAATCAAAGCATCAAATGATATATTTGATGCCTCAGATCCAGCTTGTAATGATAAATTCTTTCCTGAATTGAACTTTTCTGACTTTGTTGAAAAGAAAGTCTCTGACATTTCTGAATTCAATTTTCTCGCAAATTCTTTGAGTAACGTTGAAGTTGAGAACTCAAAACAAGTATCAGATAATGTTCAAGTGTCTAGTCAAATGGAAAAATTACCTGATAAAAATGAAATGCCTCAAAAACCACTGACAGATGAAGTAATGGTTAATGGTAATGACAGTTTTGAGGCAGACCTTGAATTATTTTTTCGTGAGGAGTTGTCAGAAAAGGATCACATTAAACAAGCAAAATATTCCTCAGTACCATCAAACAAAAGTACTGAGGATGTCAATCCAATTATGGTAGAAACTGAAAGAACTGAAAATGATGTGTCAAAATTAAAAAACATATTTACTGACGAAGAAAATCCTGTCTTGGTGAATCAATCTAATGAACTCAGCTCACAAAAAATGGAATCTAGTCAAACAGAAGATAATATAATGAATGCCTTCAATGTATCTTCAAAAGCAAAAGATAATATAATGAAGGCCTCCAACGTGTCACCGAAAACAAAAGATAATATGATGAACTCTTCTGATGTGTCAACAGAAGTACACAATTACAAAAGAACTGTTGATTTAGATTTTTCAGACATTGAGCTTGGACCTTTCAATCTAATAAACAATGTGGAAACAAAACTAGTTCCCCAATGCCTTTCTCCACAAACATTTAGAAATTTATATGGTCTTATGTGTGACAAAATGACATCTGGTGAATTGTATGACTCTGAATCATCTGACAAAACAGAGTCTCCTGATGAATTGAATGACTCGGAATTCCCTCTTTCACAAAGCATGCCTAATGAAAAGAGTGTAGATGACAAATGGGAAACTAGCTTCTTAGGGTGTGAGGAAATGACTACGTCACACTCATTTCCGAAAATTCAATATCTTAAAAATCTAGACCTAATACCTTCTTTTTGCGAAACAGCTAATATTGCACAACATGAAGCTTCCATGGATGAGCCAGCATCTCTTGAGTGTTTATCATCTGGTAACAATGAGCCTATAAGCAGGCTTACAAAAAGCTTCATAACATATAGTTCTGTGCTTCCACGACTTTTCTTTGGTATAGATGCAAACAGATTTAGTGACCTGTTCACTGACTCACCTGAAGCAGAAACAGAGAAGCATACTCTTTTCATTGATAATACGTTAGCTGGCAATAATAGTATTGTCTCTGAAACAAGCAATTTAACAACTGCTGTAAAAAATAATCCTCAATCAAGGCGTAAAGCTAATGCAGATAATAAAAGTGGTGTTTTGTCCAGAAATTCTTCTACTCAAATCAAGAAAAGAGGACGTAAACCTTTGGTGTTCAATAGTAGCAAACGAGAGAGAACGATCTCCAACTGTGCAACTTGTTTCGTGTCTGAAACAGACCCTTTAACATCTGTCGTAAAAAATAATAGACAAAATAATTCTCGATCAAGGCGTGAAGCTGATGCAGATTATAAAAGTGGTGTTGGTGCTGTGAATACTAGAACTAATATTGGAGACAAAATATTTAATAAAAGAGATTCATATAAGTCTTTGCCCAAAACGAATTTAGATTTAAACAGCACAGTAATCGAAAAGAATGTCAACGATCTAAAAACACCAACTAAACTAAATTTAAACCATACTGGAAATGGAGAAAAGTTTGTAAATAAGGAATCGCTTGATTCAAACTCTCACCCTGTAAGCAAAATAGTTGATGTGAAATCTCTTAACAATGATAATAATATAAACCAGAATTCTAATGTCTGTGAGGTAGAAAAAAATAATGTTGTCAAGCTATTAAGAAAATGTAAAGGTCTGAGCATTACCCTTGAAGACTGTTTATCTCCAATACAAAAAAGAACCATATTTTCCAATGCTCATTCATTAAAAATTGACTTTGGAAGTCTTCCAGAAGATTCAAAAAAGAAATTAAATGATAATGATTTAACTGCTGAAAAAACATCAAAAGTATGCAAAATAGATTGTCTTAAGTTAGTTGACGATGATACATTTGGTAATATTAATTACAATTCTAAAGCTAGTCACACAGAAGAAGAAATTGCTCCCCAGCTATTAAATAAATGCAGAAATCTAAGTATTATTATTAAGGACTGCTTATCACCTCTACGAAAAAGAAACATTGTCTGCAATGAGCAGACATCTTCAACAAACGATAGTTTGAAAAATGACTTTCAGGCTGTTTGCAAAACTTCAGAAGAAAATATAAGTGACAATTTTACGGATGATAATGTAAATTACTATTCTAATATCTGTGATATAGCGAATGACAATATTTCTCAGCTATTAAATAAATGCAAAACTGTTGTCTCTAATGAAGACTGCTTATCATTAACACAAAATAAAAATGATCTTCAAGATATTTCAACGGTTTCAGAAAAGGAACTAAGAGATGCTAGTAATGTTAAAAAATGTATTCAAATTGACTTGAATCATGATTCTGAAAGCCCACAAGTTTCAGAAGCTAATATATCACCTTCAAAAATTTTGCCATCAAATATCTACTCAAATCAAGAATTAAATGAAGATAGCAACTCTTTTGTCTCAAGAATTGGATCAAATGTTAAATTTCAATCTTGTGTTAAAAATAGCGGAAATAAAGAACATTCCTTAACAAATGGTAAAAAATCTTCACCTGATGATACAAACTCTGTTAAAACTAACACTCTTCCTTCTCACGGTGTTTCATTAAATAATGACTCAGTCATTACCAAAGAAATTTCTTCCACCAACTCTGGTACTTTGTCGAATCAAAGTTTATCATTACTGCAAAAATGTAAACCTTTAAAAATTGTGCTTAAAGATTATTTTAGGACCCAAAACTTGGATGCTTCACTTTACCTTAGTAGCCAAGTAGTTGATAATTTTGTAAATTATCATTCTCAACTGTCAACTCTTAATGTACCTGGCTCTATTGTACCTAAAAATTGTTCCTCAACTCAGTTAAGTATGAGCAAAATCTCCGATTCATCACTGTTTCTTAGCAGTCAAGTTGTTGAAGATTTTGTAAGTTATCAAACAAAAGAGTCAACTCTTGAAGTATCTGAGTCTACTTTTCTTGAAGATTGTCCAGAGTCTCAAATAATGACCCAAAATTCAGATACATCATTACATCTTTCCAGCCAGGTAGTCAGCGATTTTGTAAATTTTCAGTATCAAGAATCTTGTTCCGAAGTGTCTAAATATTCTACTGTACATAAAGATAGTTTTGAAAATTCTGAAGCTTCATTGTATCTGAGTAGCCAAGTTGTTAATGATTTTGCAAATTTTCAGTCTCGAGAATCCACTCTTGAAGTGCCAGACTGTTCTGGCTTTTCAGGCGAATGCACTCTGACTGAATCCTTAAGAAAATCCTGTAAGCGTATGGATTCATGTGAATTCGATGAGAACTTTGTATACAGCAAAAAGGCTAAAATGAAAGAGTTAAGAATTTTGACTCAATCTGAACTGCCCCTTTTGGCTGAAAATTCCAAACCACAAAATGTCACAGTTAAAAAAAAGAACCCTGCAACTTGTAAATCTCCTTCATGTACGAGTACAAAAAAGAAGAATGGAAATGAATCACCTGCTCAAATAAAAGAAATTACCAGATCTAGCTCACGGAATAATAAAAGACTGGGTGTAGTTGATCATGAAAAAAATAATATTTCTGAAAAGTCTTTTGATAATTCCTCTATTCCATTTTTGGAATACATTCAGAGCTCACTTTTGGAACAAAATGAAGATTTGAAACGTCCTCAAACCTCTATTAATGTCAGTCTTGAAGGCAACAATAGTAAATTTAACCGATCCTCTGAAAAATCATCTGTGTCTAGTATAATCTGTTTGGAAAAGCAGCAAGTGAAAAGTAATTCTTTAGAGTATGTGTCATATTTTGAAAAGAAACCACATAGAAAAAATAATGTGAAGAAACCTGAAAGAGCCTCGAGATTGAGATCTATAAGTTCTTTATGCTGGAATAATGATTATGTGAGTTCTAGTGGAAGAAATTTTTCTCCTGAAATGAATAATGAGGAAGTTTTAATAAATGTTAATAAGAAGAATACTACCAAACAGAAATCACCCCTTGAAACTGTACCAAAGTGCACAGTGGACTCTTGTTTTGATATCTTCCCTAAAGGAGTAGCTCTTTGTTTCAAAACATTAGAGCAAATTGTGTTCACAGAAGATGGTGTTAAATTCATCATCCATTACATTGCTAATGGACTGAGTGATGCTGCTAAGGCAACCGATAATCGGGATGTAATACTTTACATCCTCAAGTATCTTTCTATGTCTCAAAGAAATCCCATTGCCGTCTTTCGAGACACTAAAGATCCTTCTGCACTCTTGCCACTGGTCGAGAGTTGTCTTGCTTCTGCTATCCTCATTGTTAACTCTAATTTAAAAGACTCTGATTGGTTACCTGATTTAATCAATGTGATGTATCAGATGATTCTTTCAAAAGCATCTTTATCTCTTTTTGCTTTATGTTCAATGTGCAGAGTTCTTATTGAAGTTTGCAAGCAGCTGCAGAATAAGGAAATACCCATCACATTTGCCTGTGACGTGCTGAAAATGAAACATAAATACTCCATAATGTTGATAACCTATATTGTTGGATTGTGGCCTGAGCTTTTTTACCTACCTTTAGAGGCACCTGGTAAGTGTTGTGAATCATTTTAATAATTTAAAAATGTAAGTTTTTACTCATTACGTTCTAATTTTTATAGTAGATTTGATAAGATTTTCATTCTTATCAAATCTACTATAATTGATTACCTTAGTGTAAGACATGTTACAACATACTCAGTTTTCTGAGTTTAAGAATGTATTATGACCAGCTGTAAATATTGCATGCTAATATTATTTGGCAAATTTTCAGAATTTGGATTTATTTTATTGTCTAGCAAAAAAAGAAAATTCCTTTTATGTCCTTATTTTTTTCCTATTGCTAGAGAGCTGTTTTTTATTAATCATATTTTTAATGATATGTATTACTATTGGATCTCTATATGAGGTAATAACCATTGTTTTAATAAATTAATTTTTCTAGGCCATTGTTTAAAATGCAGTATATAACCATGCTTGACATTCATGATTTCATCAATAAATATGCATTTTAATTTTTGCTTAACTTCTAAAATATTGTTTTACTACAACTAATAAAACTCTGTCCCAATATTTTGCTCAATAGCTAAAGTTTAAAATTGACTTCTTTTTTTTGGTAAATATTTTTGTTGAGGAGAATATAAGTTTCTCATAAGCAAGTCTTATTTTAGTTTCCCAGAAAATCTTTAAGTAACTATTTTAAATATATTTCAAAGAAAAAAAATATTTTAAGAATGATTCAATATTTCTCTTTATTAACAAAAAATGACTAAAATCTTAGTATTTATCTAATCTTTATCTTGGAAATTAACCTTTCTGTTTTGTTCATAAATAGGCCCCTAAAATATCTCTTCTGAAATTTGCTTAAAAAACTTGAAATTTGATTTTAAGATACGTTTTACATTACATACAAAAAGCATGAAAACTCTTATTTTAATATTTTATAAGTTTTTTGAAAATTTATTCAAACTTGTAGTTTATATAATGAGTAAAGTAATTTGCAATTTTCTTTTAAAAAGATCATTATAAAAACAATAAATTTTTTGTAAAAAAATTTGACCTGGCCTCCGGACCATTGTCACGGTCCCCCCCCCCCCCCCAAAAAAANATAACCCCCCCCCCCCCCCAAAAAAAAACTACTATGGTGACAATATTCTTCGAATGTTAACAGTGTACTCATATGTTCCATTTGTGTTCTCATAAAATATTTTTCTATAACTAAAGTTTTTTTTTTTTAAAAAAATAAAAATATCACCTGTTTATTTTTATGGTCCTCTGGACAAGAAATCAAAGGTGTCCATATTTTTCTACTTTAAACGCTGATCAATTTTGATTTTATGTTTTAACAAGAAGGATCCTAACACCTGCTGGACTGCTATTTACTCTTTTAAAAAATTGATATATATATGTTGAAAACTGTTAAAATGAAAAACTGTTTATAAATGATTGAAATTTTTTAGCTCTTGTAATAATTTCTGCTTTTGTTAAATCTATTTTTCAAATTTTTGACAGATGAAGAGAAAATTTTCTATGGTGCCTTGCATTATGGAGCTCTGAAGAAATGCCAGGAAATAAAATTTAAAGATCATATAACGTGTGTCAGTCTCCTCAATGAATTAATGATAATACCTGCTATTTTAGATGTAGATTGTTGTACAGATATTTTGATCAAAGATATAAAAGAAATGTGCCTGAAAGGTAAAACTACTCAAAGATATTTATAAATTACTAAAGATACGGTTCACAATACTTCCAACAATACATTTATACAAAATCAACTCGGACAACTTTGATTTTTTTTTATTATTATTGTATTTGGTTTGAGAATTTTATGACGGTAAAGCTTCTATTTATTTTTTTACTTTAAAATATAAAGATTAAGTAAAATTACAGGGCCATGGAGTTTAATATTGATAGTTATAAACCCCAAAATGGATCAGTAGTTTGTTGCTGGTTATAAAATAAAATCTCTTGTTGCAGGAAAATTAAGAGACACAGAATTACAGATAGAGAGTTTGAACAATCATGCACTTTTTCAGAAATAATCTATTTGTTTGTATTAACTAATCCTGCGTTATAATTCTAGCTCCCAGTGAAAATGAGGTGATGATGTCAACTATTCCATTATTAATATTTGCTGCTCAAGAAGGCTGGCAGTGGGCCAAAGATAAGCTACTAGAACCACACATTATCCCTGCTATAACTGCCTATTCAGAATTGGACACAAATGAGAAAGCTCTTACTATATTCTGCAATCTTTATGGTAAGTTAATTGAATTTTTTATTAATATTGTAAAAGTGTATTATAAATAAATTCATCCTAGCAGATAAAATTGGCATTATAGCTCACTTGTCATTATAAACAAATATGCATACTTAATGTAAAAATAGCAATAAAAAAACTGGAGAAAGAATTAGACAAGTTTATCTTTTATTTAGAATAACTATTTTGATTCAAAATGCATGTCTACAGTAGACTGTTTTTGGCTAAAGATTATAGATCGAATTATGTAGCTCTGTACGACAGGATTGTTTGAACAACAATTGTAGCAATTTATCATGACGAAAATTAAATGAAGTGTGATACCTTTTGATGTCATTGATTACAGTAAATATTGATGAGAAAAGCGTGATAGGTATGTAGTGTACAAAAGGCACACTTTTTGAATATGTAGTTAGATTTGTAAAAATACTGAGGTATCTTCTTTTTTTTTTTTTTTTTTTTTTTTTTTTTTNTTAGGTAACAGATAACTTTCGTGGTAGTTGCCCACACATTGCCCTTAAAAGATAAAGGATTAAACTAGCAAACAAGTGGTTACGATTTTTTGTAATGATACCAAAAATTTCATCTAGATCAACTTTTTACATTTCATATTGGTGACTTAACTGCATAAAAATGTTTTTCCCTAAAAAAAATTTGTAATAGCTGCAAGATAGTAAATTTTTAACTTGTTATAAAGATTCAGTTTTATATTTTTAATATTGAAGGTAATCTGGAAATTTGTTATGTCATATTTATTATAACAAGCGTTAAATATATTTCTGTATACATAAAAGCAACAGTCTGTGTGGATGTATGTTTGCTAATAACTCGAGAACGGGAGCACCAAAATATGTTTTCTTCTGAAGTTTGCAATTTTTAAAGAGGTGATTTGTGAACAATCACCCCTTTTTGGTGTTAAGTGTCAGAAATACAAAATTTCATTGATGAAAACCATTGTTATTTATAAAATTTTATTTGGTTAACAGAAATATTGGCACCAATGTAGAAATTAAATTATTTAGGAAAATATTGCTATATATTTTTGACATTGCATCACAATATTAAAATTTGTACTCATTAGCCGAGGGTGTTAATATTTGTGTGGGTCACAACTCTAAAAAGCAGTCCCCAACAGAACACATGGTCCCCCCTATAAGTAGAAGATGAAAGCACCAATAGCAGATAGATATCCCAATTATATATTTAGGTCCTGCGCTTAGCTTTGGCCACCTCACCAAATACAGTTAAAATTGTAAATTCGGTGAAACAAATTGTCTTTTGACAAACGATTTTTTCTGCCAAAAAGAAATATATATATTCCCCTTGATGGTTCTTGATGAATCATATATTTTTTAATCGATTAAGGTAATTTCCATAACTTTGCATAACAAGTTAGAATTATATACAGATAATGTAAGCACCAAGAGATATTATGTGAGCAAAATAATGCATATTTGTTCCCAGATTGCTGCAATTCGTTGCCGGGTCATGCACTATCGCACGAGGAAACTCTTTACTACGGTTAGTGTCAATAAAGCAAATGAAGTGGTAGCCAGATACATTTATCTTCCAACTATTTTGCAGTGAATATATTTTATCATGACAATAACATATTATTTAAATGAACTTATTGTAAAATTTAAAAACTGAAATGGTTGCTAAAGTAAGAAAATTTAACTTTGATTTTATCTTTATAGATTACTATTTTTCAATGACAGATATAATGTAACCACCGGCATTTGGCTGGCAATGAATGTGTTGAACCCCTCAAAAATTTCGATAAAAACCCTCTGCAAGTAGTATAAATGTAGCAGAATTAAATTATTCAAATAACTTATCTTCTGCCACGATCTTTTTTTTCTGAATGATTACAATCACAACAGCGCAAAATAAGCGTGACAGTGCAAATTCTTTTATTAAAAAATAAAAGACTTAAAGAATGAAATATTTCATTTAAAATTAATCTAAAGTTTGAAAGAAAAAGAGAAAGTTTGAATCTAAAAAAACATCAAATGTTGCTTCAGGTTTATTCTTATTACTGTTCTAGTCTAAGAAGTTATTAAAAAGAAATCTCAATTTAAAGTCATTGTTTCGAAGTGTATTTTTCTTTATTTATTTTATTTTATTATTTTTTTGAAAAGCAATAATTAAAATATTAGTGCTTAAAATCGTTTCTTTTAATTGTGTGGGTAAAAATATCAAAAAGAATCAGTAACTTAAAGATATTACTAGTTCATACACATTCTTACTGATCCATTTATTTATTTATTTTTATTTTATGAAATAAATTCAAATAGAAAATACAAAGAATGTGTTACTTTCACAATTATGTTGAAATATTCTATTTTGGACACAATACAGAAAAAAACAGGAAACTAAGAATCAAAATGGCATCTACCTTTACATCAGTTGCTAGTCAGTGGGACCACTAAAAATTATTTTATGGTGGTCCGAGTTAAATTCTAGGGTTCCAAACCCATTAATTTCAAGCCCTGTTGTTTTTCGATGATTAAATATAGTTTAAAAATTCACAACTAAAGGTTAGGATTACTGATCTATTTATACACTGATATTTCATTAGTCTTTTTTTCCCCTCTTTTTTATAATCATTTTCAAATGAATGCTTGTAAGTTAATGTTTCTTTTCTTTACTTCAGCTGAAATTTGCTTTTTCTCACCTGATGGAACCTACCCAGAATTATTTCTTATGAACTGCTTTGAAAAGCATTCATCAGATGTTGGTAAGTTCTAAACATTTTTTTTTTCTTAAAAAAAAAAAGACTGTAATAATAAAAACGTAATAATTCAACTTCCTCCTTGATTTATATTTTAATTTATAACCATCATTGAAAGCCGACCCATTTTTGGGGGTTTACGACTATTATGTAACCTTGAAATTTTGAACCCAATCCAGAAGACAAGGGAACTCCTGGATTAAGCATTGGGTCAAACTTACCTTCATGGGGGACTTTTTGGTGGATGTAATCTGCATTTGCATTACATAGTGTTACATTCCCACTGTTAGTCAGATGGCATGGGGTCTCTAACCTATAATTCGTCTTCCACTGAGGATATTTTACATCAGCACTGTGGTTTGTGCGAACTGGGTGCAAAATTCATATTGACTAACATCGCTGGGATTCAAACCCCCTTCACCTCATTGGGCGGCGAGCGCACTATCCTCTGAGCCACTACGGCTCTCCTTACTTATAATGAATCACATGTGAAAAGATTTGCTTGCAACTTCAATTTTTTTTATATTAACATATATTATTATTTCACCTACATCTAACCATAGCCAATCACCTATCCCTGTTTTTTATTATCGTTAAACATTTTTGGCAGAAATGCGGCTTAATTTTAACCCTAGTCAGACGATGTGGATAGTGCCTGAGCTGGTACCCCTCTTTTTAAACTTCCTTGCCACAACTGGCAAGAGGACTCACATTCCTTTGATTTCCACCAGCAAAGTGGGTGAGGTCTTATCCGACTGAGCTACTGGAACCCCTTTTATTGTGATTCCAGCTTCATTATTTTTTTTGGCTTATTCAAAAAATTTTAAGAATCTAAAAGGCATTAATTCTTAGACTTCCGGGAATCAGAAATTTGTATTCCGATGTTTTGCTAAATTTCAAATCTATAGTTCAAATATAGAAAATTAACAAAACATTTATTCTCTAGGCTTTTCAAGAACATTTTTTTTTTGTTGACTTTTTCTTTGTTTTAAACTACCCAATATTATGAGGGTGGTACTAAGTGGTAACAGTGATTTGTAATTTCAAATATAACTCTTCTTGATTTGAAATTCTTTATTTTGTCTATTAATAGATAAAATATTATGAATGTGAATAATAAAGGGGTTTAAAATTCATATTTTAAATGGGGACTCACTTTTAGTAAAAATTAACCAAAATTACTGTAGTCCCAGTTCCTAAGAACCCATAATTTCCTTGCACCATTCTTCCATTTTAAGAAAAATAGTGTATTTCTCTTTCATTGAATTTGGATGGCAGGTCGGAATAATGTCTTAAATGAAGCGACCTACAAGTTTGACTTTATTTGTATTTCTTATACAGATAAAAAAATTTAATTTGAAGAGAGTAATTTTCAATGTTATATAACATTTTATTGTTTTTCATTTAATAAATTTTTAACAATTCAAATTATGTGTTTTATTGAATAAAAGTTATTTTATTTCTATTTCTTATTTAAATCATATTTAATGGTTGTTCTTATTTGCAGGATATAACTTGATACAAGATGCTACTGCTTTAACCTCTTTAAAATTAATCGTTTTTCGAGGGCAGCAACTTCCACAGAATTTGGCGGATTGGATAGCAGCCAATGACTTTTCTCCTAAAGTTTCCGAACTTTATGCATATTTTCAGAGAAAACTTATGCATTCCAAACCTGATATTTCAAAGAAAGAAATCTTTTGACCTGATTTCTCCTTTCTGAAGCTGTGATTCATCTGATGTTTGGTTATGTTTCAAAAATAACGATGTAAATATACCAAAAATTTACTGTTTAAAAAATAATATTCACTGTTGAGAAATCAGCTCAAAAATTATCTTAAAGATTCCTGTTTAAAAACTTATAGATCTATTTTGAGAAATTCGAAAGATTTGTCTATACAATTAAAATTCTAAAATTAGGCTTAATGCAAATAAATTAGTTGATAAATATTCACTAACTCACTTTATAAAAGCATTTGTACATGTTTAAAATTATGTTACATAAGATTTATGTTTTTATTCACCAGAGTTAGATTCTTTTATAAACAAACCGCAACTTGAATTTTTCTTTTATAATGAAAGAAGAAACGAGGATTGCGTCTTGTAGTTTGCTCCAGCTCTCTTGAAGCTAAATCCTCTTCATAAAATTTGTATATAATTCAATTTTCATTGTATTTTTCATCATTGTGTTTGTGTATACTGTGGGTACCCAATTCAGATTATATTCTTTCATAAATAAAACCTGAGTTAAATTTTTCTTTGTTTTTTCTTAAATAAAGGGGAGGAACGAAATCTGTAGATTGTTTCAACTCTCATGAAAATAATGCTCTAAATAGTGTTATAACAATTTGTATAATTTAATTTCCATTGTATTTTTTATCATTGTGTTTGCGTGTTTTAAAATGTTTATATTATGCCAAGTTAAATTAGATTCACACAAAAATAAACAAACCATGATTGGAACTCTCCTTTGTATATTTTCTTTTATGTATATAAAAAAAAAGTGAATTGCATCCTGTGATTGCTTTAACTCTTGTGAAGCTAAATCCTTTCCTTAGATGTTTTATAATTTCTATAATTAAATTTTTATTGAATTTTTTATTGTGTTTCTGTGAACCCAAGTTGAATTAGATTCTTTCATAAATGTAACACGAATTGAATAATTGGGAGGATTGAATCCTGTTGATTGCTTCAGCTCTCATGAAGTTAAATGCTCTCCATAGATGTTTTACAAATTATAGCTCAATTTTCATTGTGTTTTTGTCACGTTTATGTGTATTATGTCAACCAAAGTTAAATTAGATTCTTTCATAAGTAAACAACGAGTTGAATTAGTCTTTATATTTTTTCTTTTATGAAGGGGAAAAAAAGAGTATTATCCTTTCGAATGCTTCAGCTCTAATAAAGCTAAATGCTTTCCATAGATTTTTTATAACTTAATTTTCATTGTGTTTGGGCATATTTTGTGAACTCAAGCTAAATTATCTTTTTTCATAAATTATATATATAAACAATGTGTTGAATATTTTTTTTTACTCTTTTTTTTCCTTATTAAAGAGAGGGATTGCATCCTGTTGATTACTTTTGAGCTTATGAAGCCTTGATGCTCTCCATAGTCTTTTTACAATTTCAACATTTTTATAATTAAATTTTCATTTTTTTTCCTTACTTGACAATTGGGTGCCTGTTTTGCTATATATTAATTTCCATTCATCACTATTGAATTTCAAGGAAACTTTTTATAACAAATAGGCTCAAAAAATATTGTTAAATAAAAAAAAAAAATTTCTGAGACTGTGTTATTGAATCATTATTTGGTTTTTTAGTTGTTATTTAATTAAAAGAGACGCAACATATAACTTTCTATATTTTTTGTATAATTCTCAAAGTTCATCTCATCATTTGATAGATGATTAACCCAGTGTAAACAAGTTTTCTAAAATTAGAATAGAGCTTCAAAAATTTTTAGAGTATCCCTCCTCTGATGTTGTTTATACGAGGCAGGGAGTGAACAGTCTTAATATTCTATAATTTTTTTTAAAAATTGGTCTTGAAGTTTTCTCCCAATATCACAATTCACAAAAATTTTTTCAAGCTTTATATATTTAAAAAAATTATGAGACTAATAGTTGCAAAAACGAAACGGGGGCAAAGGCGATTGATTGAACTCTTTTTGAGATTTATCAGTCAAAAAAACTGAGTCTTGATTTTTTTAATGCCACCTGTGCTATGATTGCCTTCAATACTGATTTGTCTGATTTTGGTAAAGTATTTTGTTATCCTTTCTCACTTAAATCTTTATTCTAAATATATAGATTCCTATGTATGGATGGTAGTAAAAACATATTATGATGCATAACTGCCAACTCTACTTTATTTTCCAGTAGACTACTAGATTTTGTCAGTTTCTACTGATTTAATGAAAATTCTCCTGGCTTCTTATACATTTTAGAAAATTCCCTAAAATTGAGTAAGTTTCCTTAAAAATCCCTATTGGAATGGAATTTTCACGCCCAATAGGGATTTTTTTCAAGCTTTAAGCAATTTTTTTTCTATGTTGGAGAGTTATAATTATTACCCTGAAGTTGGTTCTTGGAGATTTCAACGCTAAGCTCAAAAGAGAACGACTTAAATCTTGTGCTGCACTGTGAAAAAAATGGAAATGGACAGATATTTTCGACTTTGCTCTCTCAAATATGTTTATATCCAGTATGCCATTGGCGAGAACACTTTGTGTTACCCTGATGGTTTTAACTCTTAATCAAACTCTCGGATAAAAGACATAACAATGTGACGGATAAGAGAAGCTACAGTAGTACAAATCTCGACACCGACCATGTTCTTGTTATCTCCTCCGTTAAACTTAGATTGTGTAAGAAATTCTATTCTCAGAAGAAAAACACCAATTTTAAACCAGGCATTACAAAACTTAAGGATTACAGTATTCTTAAATAATATAAACACAAATTATCTGAAGACATGAAACCAGAAAAATCAAATTATGACTTAGATTGGACTTCTGTTATGGAAATCATTTTAAAGTCCACATGTGAAACCATTCCAAGTTTTAAATGTTGCATCAGAAACGAGCGTGCAAAGGCCTCCGACTGAGTACAAGAATAAGGCTTAAAGATTGATGCTGCAGAAACACCATATTAGAGCTTATTCGAATAATATCAAGATTTGAGAAAATAGAGAAAAAGAAAGCATAAGAAAAGTGCTTTTCTCATTAGGACTTACTAAAAAAAACCTGGAAAGCCTGAACAACCAAAAAAATATTGGAGGTTCTACAAATTAGTCGATAATATGATAAGGGAATTCAAGCCAAAAACTACCACCTGCGGAAATAAAAACGAAGAATTTGTGAGCGAAATCTTTGATGTATTAAACGTTTAGAAATGTTATTTTCAAGATTTGCTTGTAGCAAAAGATGAGTTTCTTCTACTCGTAGGAAAGCACAAAAGAACTAAATGCACTTCAGCACTCGAACAATCCCTTACCTTCTCTAGATCTTGAAGTGAACTTGGCTATTACAAAACCTAAAAACAACAGATCGGCTAACTGTATATCCCATCTGAACTACTAAAAACCGATAAATCCATAATCATAATATGAATCAATTTGATATGCGGAAAAATTACCCATGAATGGGACCATTCATGAAGAAGAAAATGATCTGATGTCCTTAATTATATATTACATACTATTTCAAAGTAAAACCTAGTAAAAACATATATTAACTAATGCATAATCGCTTATTTGGAACAAATGGTATTCCTTTAAGTGCTGTACTATATAACAAATCAAATTGGAAATGGTTTTTATCTCTCTTGAGCCTTTCATATTTTTTAAAAAATTTCGATATAAATGTTAAGATCTATATCTGGCGAGTTGATCAAGTCTCGCGTGAGCATAAAAAATCTCGAAAAAAAATAAATTTTTCTACAATGTATAAATAGTCAAGTAGTCATTAATACCAACAAAAAAATTGGATTGAAAAAAAAACACGTTCAAAATTGTAATAACTTTTCAGCAAATCGAAATTCCGAAAAAAGAAGAAAAAAAAACGTGTTAAGTTTATAAATGAAAATGACACCTTCAGAATATCAAATTTTAACACAGTGATTGTAATTGAACTTGCTGTAAATCGTCCCTCGTGTTTTTTTTTTTTTTTTATAATTAAGTTCATTTAAATTTAACAGTTGATAATTCTCAAACTTATTTTCAAATCTTAATTTTTTTTTTTTTTTAAAGATTCCATCATACTTCTTGCATATTTTTTTACACACCTTTTTAATTTCAAATTTTGAATTCTAGTTTTTGCGTGTCAAAGCAAAACGAAACGTTAAGTTGAAAACCCATAACTGGGGCGAATTTGCGATTTAGATATATAAAATAAAAAATAAGTTAAGTTATGACTATTCCTTTTTTTTCTTTTGAGAATGTGGGAAATAAAATTTTTTGCTTAATAAGGGTATCCAGGTAAATTATTTACCTAATTTTATTGATTCAAAAGAAGCAAAAATTAGATTTTTAAAAAAAAAATGCGACGTAAGAAAAGAATTAAAACCAATTGGGCCGAAACTATAATCCCATAACAAGAGACGAAATGACTATCTGGTTGAAAATCATCAGGCAAAGGCTAGAGCAGTTAATCCTCATACCTGCTTACCAATGGTTAGCAGAAGTTCATTCCGTTTACAATTTAAATTTTTTTTTTCTTTCGAAAAATATTTTTTGGAATGATTAGAAATATCTTCTGTTTCACGCATTACAAATCGTATGAAGCAAGAAAGTTTAAAGCTAAATTAAAATGAGAATGCATTCGAGTGTTCAGAATTTTTTTTTTTTTTTCTTTATTAAAGATATGGTCCGGAACATAATTCGAAATTTCTTCTCTAGGGTTATTTTACTTAGTCATTTTAAAATAAACTGAAAGAAAAAACAGTTTGAGCTTCGGTTGTTTTTAAAAAAAGTTTAAAGCCGATTTAAAAATTATATATCTTGGTATTTCGTATGTACAGAAAGACAATTATTGAATTATATGAAATAAAACTTAAATTGTTTAAAAACTACTGTACTGATTGCACAAACTTTATTCAACATATGAACAGATATTCGAATTTACGTTGATGTGTTCGATATGCCTGCCATCATTGGCTAAGATGTGACTCAGACGAATAGTAAAATTATGCGTAACCCGTAGAAATGTCAGAACATCGATGCTGTCAATGACCTTCTAAATGACAGTTTTCGGGTTTTATATCTGTACACATTGTCTTTAATATAGCTCTATAAAACTGAATCACATTTACTCATATCCGGAGAACGTGGCGACCAAGAGAGACCCATTCCGGTGGCGTCTGGGTACCCGTGAGCCAGAATGCGGTCTCCAAAGTGCTCCTCCAGGACATTAAATACTATCTTTGTTCGATGGGGTCGAGCTCCGTTTTGAATGAACCATATCTTGTTGAAATCGTGGATTCTTTGGAAAAATGGGGATGAAAATCATTTTCTAAAACCTTCACGTATATTTCTGTAGTCAAGGAATATCTCACCGATTATTCCGTGACTTGACATTGCACACCAGGGTGGAGAGATTTCTCTATCGCGAAACGCGGATTCTTAATCCCCCAAATGTGTCAATTTTGCTTATTGGCGAACCCATCTAAGTGAAAGTGAGTTTCGTCGCTAAACCAAACCCACATCAAATTCCTGTCAGAAATTCTCTAGACAATAGTGTTGACCCAACACAACCACTGTTCCATAGCTATGCGGCTTAATGGTAGTTAGGTTTGAATTTTGAGCTGGGAGAAATGCAGGTCTTCAACCACAATTTGTCGCAGGGTCTCTCGGTTGATTCTAACTTGTTCAGCTCGTCTGATCGTTTTCTTTGGGCTAGTCAGAAACACAGAGTGTGTTTTCTTGAGGTTTTTAAGCGTTTTCACTCTTGTTTGTCGACCGATATTCCCAACACTATCATCACAGACATTACCAGTTCTCTCAAACTTGTGAATCAAATTCTTGATTGTTAGACCAGCTTTCTTCAGCTAATGGTCGGTTGCTAACTTCCTTTGAACCTCAATGGAGCTAGAGCTGTAATTTTATCGCATGGTAGGCGTTCACAAGCGATATACGCTCGATCAAGCACGCTGTAGAGCGATATTTTTATTTGCAAATGGGCGACAATAACGCATACTAATTCCGCATACTCATACTAATTCCGCACGCGCATACTAATTCCCCTGCAATCAACCACGAAGTTAAAATTCCATCATGCAAACCATTCAGAAGTTATGAAGATATTATTTCATATAGCTCAATAATTCTCTCCCTGTATGTACTATTAAAAAGTTGTACGAGAAAAAAATTCTTGCGTTTTCCACTTGCATCCCATAATGAAATTGAGAAACGCGAAAATCATCTTTTTCCAATTCGCGATCGCAACACTCGAATACGCCATCTGGGGAGAGACCGGTTTCATGCTTTTAGCCCTTCTCCCTTCCCTCTCCTCCTCTTTTCAGTTGTATAGGAATGTACTACGATATTTTCCCTTTTCTTAATATTTTTCCTTTTTATTTAATAAGAATATTTTTTAAAATTTCCATAATACTTTTCTTTAGAACTATGTTTAATGTAGTTTTCAGTTCCATATAGTTTTTCAAGTTAAAAGATTTTAATCTATATGAAAATCAAGAGAGAAACTAACGTACTTCCTTCCTCTATGACTTTCCACACGCTAATGGGGAAAGCATGTGAAGTGTTGCCATAGGAAAAGAGTTCTGCTCTACGCCACCTGCAGTCCATTTCGATCGCCAATAATGGACACTTTTTTTTAAATATATATATATATGTATATAATTAAAAGAGTTAGGTACTTTTAATTTCTATTAAAAAATAATTATTAGGTTTTGAAACACTACTGAGGAAGGCAAGACTAAAATCTTTAAATGATTGATTTGTTAATTTACGTCGCACTAGAGCTGCACAATGGGCTATTCGCGACGGTCTGGGAAGCATCCCTGAGGATGATCCGAAGACATGCCATCACAATTTTGATCCTCCGCAGAGGGGTAAATCTTTAAAACTTTCCAATAATCGCTTTACTATTTTTCGATTCCTCTGACTTTCGAAGAGGTCAGTCATAATTTGTTGGGTTTTAAGCAGCGTTTTTGTTTCTATTAATTAGTGACCCCCTGAGTTTTGCATTCTTGTGTAATAATCTTGCGTTCTAAAAAAATACCTTAACGGTGGCTATTGTGGAACTCCCTGTATTAATATGTATTTCAAAGTTATATGAGATAATTCATGAGTTATATTATTAAGAGTATTTGTCACGATCTTTAATTTACATAGCTGCGGTGGGTCAGAAAATAGAGCACCTCGCTTCCCAATGTGGTGACCTATTTTTAGATCCCAGAGATAACTGGTAGATAGGAAATCTCCTTTCAGCTAACATCAAAAGTCCATAAAACGAGGTGGATTTGTACCATTTTTTTTTCTTCTTCTAGATTGCAACATAGAATTCTGATTTTTTTTTTTGTTTTGTTTTGACAGTAGGGAAAAGAAAAAATAAGATTCTTATAACTAAATTCTTAAAAGAATTAAAATACAGGGAATTTTGAAGAGGAGGGAGAAATTACTTAAAAAATATCAGTTTTAAGAAAAATTGAATTTTTTAAAAAAAGAAATTGAAATTTTGAGATAAAGGGGGTAATATTTTTAAAATGTCACACTTTTTCGTTGTTGAAGGGACGGGTTAAAGTTCTTTTTTTTTTTTAGATTTATTTTTATTGAAAATTAAAATTATAAATCAGCGTTTATTAGAGGCAATGACGCGAAGTTTCTATGCAAATAAGCTAAAAAAAGGAAAAAATGCAAATTCTACTACAAAACTACTTACCTCTTACATGTAGGTTTTTTTTCTAAATTTTTCTAATGCAAATTGGGTCATTTTTTAAAAAAATCGGAAAAAAACCCTGACTGGATACAAAATGTATAAACATAGGTTTGATGAGAAATATATAAAAACAAAGAATCGAGGACTTCATTACGTTTGTAGGAATTTAAAGTAAAAAATCTAAAGTGATTTTTTATTTAATATTAAAAAAAAAAAAAATACAGTGACAAACCCAAGTATTAGACCTAAATTCCTTGATGGTGAATGTAAATAAACCATGGCTCTAATGCACATCGTATTTATGAAAGGAAAAAAAAAATCAAAAACTTCTTAACGCAGAATAGGCTAAGACTATACTTCGTTCAAACTATGAAACAAAGCTTTAATAACGAAAATAAAACATAATCTTTTTTTAAATTCACATTATACATATTTATTGAAGATCTCTCAACTTTATGACGCTTTTTTTACATCCTTTACATAAAGATAATCGGTGTTTTCTATTGGTGCTATAAACTAAGTTAGACGATAAGAAAAAAAATGATCCGCTTTGGGTAGTGGTCGTAAGATATCTGAGTACCAAAAAAAAAAGCAAAGAAAAAAAGAATTTAAGTTTTTTTGCAGGAAAAGGTTCAGTTGGGTGAATTTTTTTATTGCTGCTACTACATTAAAAAAAACTACTGCCTTTGCTGTTGTCACCATTTTTCAAATTATAATAAATTATTATCAAATGCTATTACGCAATTAGTTCCCATTTTTTTCCTGTATAAGTTGTGGATATTTAAAAAATAATTTAATATATGAAACAAAAGAACATTTTTAAGTTTTAAGCACTAACTTAATTTATATTTGTTAAGAAACTTTTTTAACAGTTTATTCTGGTAGGTTACGCGTAAAATTAAAAAGAGTAAGTTGAAAATTTTAATTTTAAATAATTAATGAGCATACAGTATTTAAGTAATGAGGCTTTTGAATTTGTAGTTTCTTTTTTATAAAGTTATTTATATTGCGATTTACTGATTTTAACGAAGTTTCTGTAAAGGAAAATATTATTTTATTTTTTTAATTATTTTGATAAATATTTGATTCGATAAACGTGGGTTCGCCACCCTTGTTGTACCGCGACAGTTATAACAAGTAAATAAAACAGTTTTAAATAATGGACCCAATTAAATCATACGTTTAATGCACCCGATGGCAGGATTTTAGAAGCAGTAAATGCGCCAATATGTTTGAAATGAATTTGTGCGCCCTCTTGCGGAATTTCTTTAGGTTCAGATCAGGACGGCCTCTTACGTAAAATATCCTTTGCTTATATATATTTAATAATGGCCAAAATCCCTATTATTTGTAAATATTGAATTATTCTTACCTATATAATAATTAAATTATGCTTTCTTTTCTGAAATCTGTATCACAGTTCTAGTTTCGTTTTCCATTATCAAGTGAAAGATTCACTGTTAGTTGTTTATTCAAAAGCAAGCAGAATAATAAGCAGAGTTATGTAATTTTAACTCATCATTAGCTAAAATTATGTTTTAAAAGATCCCTTATTTAGCAATTTTTTAAAAATAAAATAAAATACTGCAAAAAAATTTTGGAAACAGCATCAAGTAATTCAATATCTTATATATCGATTTGAGAATTGGCAACTCCTGTTGTTGAGGGGATAGAAGCCTTTTGTCAATTGTTTTTGAAAGGGTATATTAAAATAAAATTTTAGATGAAAACAACTTATTTACACTCTTGTTTTATGACTTCACAACAAATGCTAAAGCTTAAATGGACTACTTAGTTTCATCTTTTAACAGTATGAACTCTCAACTTTATCCTTGATTTCACTATGTGGAACTTATGACTAACCCAAAGAATCGTGGTATATGCCGTATCGATAGCGGTTTCGTACCTAACTAGGTTGCCTAGTTAGGAAACATTATTTAATTCCAATAGTGCAAGATTTATAAAAAATGCAGAAGCTAGATTCACGAGAAGACCAAATAAATCAAAAGGCTAAAAAGTCCGACCAGTTTTATGCAAGAAAATGGACGACATCACAAAATTCCGAAAGGAGTACACAATCCTCCGGTTTATTAATGGTTGGACCGAATTTTAAAGTTGGAAAGAAAATTGGGTGCGGAAATTTCGGAGAACTTAGACTTGGTAAGTAATTGCAGATAAATATCTTGCGTAAATTTAACGTTGGAGCATTTGTTTGTACACAACCCCACCTATGTGCTATCATCACGTTTTGTAATCTGTCAGTTTTTGAAACTTTGTTTTGATTTAAGCTTGTTTTATGGAATCAAAAGATAAATAAACATCTATATTCTAATTTTGCATTATTGTTTTATATATAAATTTCCGCTAAAACGTACGATAATGCTTATGTCATGTTCGTACATGAATAACTCGCTGTATTGGGTAATTAGTATTTCAAATGCCTGATCTTTGTAACCAAACGTACTTGTCCTATGTTTATTATTTTAATGAAGGGAATTTTGTGTTAGGGTTTGCTCTTCTATATTGGAAAATGCACCTTCATTCATGCTTGAGTAAATAAAAAAGACTGTACAGACTAAAAATTGGGACCATGATGATTAAACACTTGTCCGTGTTTTATTGCGTTACCTTCTACCAATGTTAAAGGCGGGAGTTTTCTTAACCACATTGATATTTATAATGCTTTTGTAAAATTTACTATCAAGTATTAAAAACCCTTTTCAGAATTCAATGGCATAAGTTCATAGGAAATGATAGCAAACACATTTAAACTGTAGTTTTATTACCTCAGAATAGAAAATACTAATTAGTCATAACTGGATTAATAATTATTAGTTTAATTGGTACTTAGTAAACAAATTTCAGTCAAATGAGTTGAGATTTATTAATGAAAATATACTACATTGTTTTGAATTTCACAGTAGTTATATTTAAATGTTGGATTTAGGTTTTCTTTATCAACATCATATATGAATGGATATCATTAGCTTTTCTGTTCATTCTGCTGGTTTTCTGTACATTCTTTGAGCCAAATTGATATTGCTCTTATTACACTAAGAAATAATTAAGTTATTGTTAATAGATATAAAAACTGAAATCATTCCAACACTTCCCTAAAGCAAAATTATTTTTTCTGCAATTTTCTTCCAAAAAAAGGTCTTGCAATCCTACTGGAATAAAAATTAATAATATTCTGTGCAGTAAGTTCTATTTTTTTTAAACATATTTTCTACAACATTTTTTAAGCCTTGTGATACATATTTAAAATTTTAATTTTTTTGTTTATATATTTTCAATTTTATCCATTATGCATTAGTTAGGCTAAACCATAAATTCAGAAGATTCTGTTGAACTGCTGTTGTCTTTAAGAACAAGATTCTGACTTAATATAGAATTTTAGCTATGGTCTAAATTTTATTAAATAGATGACTATGTTATTGTCATGGGATAATATTGTCTTGCATGGATGTCAATAATAGAGACAATGATCTAAACTGTATTTAAACTTTAGAAGAAATTAAATTTCTCAACTTTATCTCATTATTTTATTCTCTTTAATCAGGATTAATATCAGTGTTGGAATTCGGGAAAAAAAAGAAATTGAAAGAATCTAGACGAAATAAAAGAAATTCAAAATGACAATTAAAATTTGTTTAGCAAAAAGTATTATAATAAAAGCTTAAATTTAAAAATAGTTTAATTTTATGTAATGCAGAAGTTTTATATCGTCTTTTTTTTAATGAAATAACTATTTTCATATTTTTTACTTTAGTTTTATATAGAATTTTAAAACCTATTTACATTAAATACTTAAGAGTGTTTCATTTAAAAATTAGTATGCTATTAGTAATGATGTAATTTGTAGTAGTGCATATGTTTATATGATTTGTTAATCAAGAAGAATTTAATAAAATTTGATAATTTAATGATTTATTAAATTAGGTTTTATTGTATTAATTTACATAAAAATTTGAACTACTGTTATATTATTTTAATACTGTTATATTATTAAATTCATTTATTTTTCCATTTGCTGCTTTTGTGTTTTCATTTATTTATTTATTATATATTAAATAGCTTTGAAATTAATATTATTTAAATTAGATTGTAATTGTAAATTGTTTCATAAATGGTGCTCACATAAGGAAAAATGTTTCTTTGTCATTGTTTAATTTAGCAATGCTGCAATAATTAACTTATTAGGCAACATTACTCTAATCTAAAGTCAACTTCATCTGCATCAGTACCTAGAAGCAAGAAATTAATGCAGCTAGAATTTAATATAATTAAAATTTCACACAATAAATTAAAAATTATTTACTTAACCACTGTAGATACTTATTAATGTCCATAAAGTAAAGAACCTTGTGACTGGGTATCTGTTTACTGACAAGTTTGTCAACGTCTGCTTACTGACAAGAAGAAACAGTTTAAATATAAAGTTATAAAATGTTAAAATTTTTCAAATTATTATAGGTAGTTTTGTAATTTTGAGAGTATAACACTTATGTCTTAAATCTTCTATATTAGAAATAAAAAAGTTAAACTGTTTTCTAAAAGACCTGATGTTTATTGAGCTGAATACAAAGTTAAAATAAGACTTAAGAAAAATAGTCTAGCATATGAACATACTCTTGAAATTAGAGATTGTTTTTTTTCCCTTCTCAAAACATCAATAAATTTAGAAACTATTAATATTAAATATTAGAGCAAGGATCTGAACTTAAAAAACAAAATGAAAATGTTGTTTGAAATTTCAAATTTGATAATGCTGTCAAAGTATGTTAGAAAAGAAATTTATAGAAATTGTAATGAAAATAATTTATTTGCATCAAATTATTTTTCTATATGAAACTATGTCAAATATGCTGAATAAAAAAATTTAAATCTTTACTCATTCTATTTTTCCTATCTCGTGTTTTATCCATATTCTTTTTAAATTTTTTTTATAAAATTTTTTTCTGATAATATATATAATGTTATTATATATATTATCATTTTATGTAATAATGTTATGGTTATGTTATCATAACCATAACATATAATGTTATGGTTATGTTATTATAACCACAGACCTGCCAACTCTCCTGCTTTTAGCAGGAGTCTCCTGCTTTTGCCTCAAATCTTCGCCCTCAGGCCTTCAGGGTGTTTTCTCCTGCTTTTTTCTATTTAGTGCAAGATAGAGGAAAAAAAACAACAATTTGTGCCTTCCCAACTTGTGCTTCAGATCATGCTGGGCATTTATTTAGAAAAACTTTTCCCCATAGCAACATCACTAAAAATTATGGTGAGTGTGAACCAAAACAGCAGCAATAACCAATGAAATGGCAAAATCGGAGATATCTTGGACACCATTAGGCAAAATGTTTTTTCACTTTCTATAGATGCCAGTTTTTTTTTTTTAAAATAATGCTAAGTCAGCAACATCTGCAGTTTTAAAACAGTAGCAGTTAAAAAAAAATTAAGAAATGCCTTTATAAAGTATTGTATTCATTATTGACATATTTTGTTAGTTTTGAACTTCTTCCTAAATTTGAAAAAATCAAAAGATATGTTTTAATATAATTCTGTAGAACCTTATATTTTATAGTAAGAACACGTATCTTTATTAGTCAGTGTCAGAATCTTATTGTGGTCTATTTTATGTAATGTAAATAATATATTTTGAAATAAACTTCTTGTAGGAAGTGTGAATCAGGTTTAATTTTCAATGTTGCGCTATGTCGTGATACAGAAAGAGTCTCCTGCTTTTTTATTTTCTAAGGTTGGCAGGTCTGTAACCATAACATATAATGTTATGGTTACATAATGTTATGCTTACAAAGCTGTCAACTGCTATACTTTTTGTGAAATATTTTTTTAAATTTTTTTTAAAACTATGAATCAGGGATCTGTCCAGGCCAAATTTACTATCGTTTAGCTGTAGCTTCACAAATTCAACTTTAGGAAAAACGGTAGTTTCACAAAATACTTTTTCTTCTTAAAATTTTATTTTTGTATCCCATAAGAAATGATAAATCCATATTTTTACCATATTTTTGTGTTGATTTTTTTAAATATAATTTTTAATTTTCACAAATTATGTCTAAATTTTCACAAAATAGGTAGGGTGACCTGGTAATTCCTGATCAAAAAATGCAAACATCTATTTTGTGAAAAAACTATTCAAGATAGAATTTTATTATTTACTGGAAGTTTGACTATATGAGATGAGTCCTATGCTACCTTCTTTTGTTTGAAAGTCTAATTAGAATTTAAAAGGTTTCAAATTTTTAGTGATCAGGAATTACCCCTTCTCTTGATCATTTCTGGGGTAATTACTGATCACCAGTTTTTATAGTAAATGGGCTGTTTAAAAATAATTATACAAAGGCAATTAACAAATAAGACATTAAGATCAAACAAATAAACCAAAAAGATATTTTTAAGCAGCTATTAAAGCATTTTATTTAAAAGCAGAAATGAAGATTAATACTTCAGCTCTGGCAGCAGCTCTCACACTGAAATTTTCAATCATTAAAAGAAATTAGCTATTTTTGCTTTTTAGAAGCTTAGTATCCTTTTTAGGCTTATAATTTCTCACCATATTTATATTAGGTTAGTTTATCAACTTAAGAATTATTCTAATAATGTACACACATGAAATTAAGATAGAAGAAAGGTAAGACAAGCTAGAAATTTTATGCATATCAGAACACATTTGTCTTGAATACAGTTAAAAACAAATTTTGTGATTATATTTAAAATGATTTTATAGTTGTTCCACTTAATAAATATGAACTGTTATTTAAGAAAAGACAATTAACTATTGATTACCTATTTTTTATACTATTTATAAGAGGAAATGAAAATGAACAGGAATTACCCAGTGATCAATAATCACCCCATCTGTAGGGGGCAACATTTGATATAGTTTCCTATAATCAATTATAATGTTTACAGTAGATGTGAAACAATTAAACAAAAGCTTACACTATTTTTATATCAAAGAAAAAGAAAGTAACTCAAAATATTTAATATTGCAGAAATGTGCACATTTTGAAACCCATCTTTGAAATGGAAAATGCAGAAAGCATTTTAAAAGATACTTATTTTGTTAGATTAAACAAAAAGCTATTACAATTAAGTAAATGTAGTTATACTTTAGTAAAGTGTACAAGCATTCTTGTCCATGTCTCAAATTTAAAAAAAAATTTTTTTTAAAAAATAAAACTTGAGTGATCATTATTTACCCCAGAAACAGAGTGATCCCGAATTACCCCGGGTCACCCTACCTCTCAGAAAAACCTAGACAGATCCCTGTAAATGCTTTCTTTATGAGTATAATATTCATTACATTCATTTAAATGCAGTGGTTTGACTCTAGATGACTACCCTTATGATAAAATCTTGAAACTGTTGAAATTGCTAATAAATGTAATAAGCTTAAAATAATTAAGTATTTTTATGCCTTAAAAAGTAATGTTACTTTAATTCATTTTAAGTTCTTGATTTTTTTTTTCTTTTTAAATTACGTTTTAAATTATTTGGTTTAAATGATGCTATTTGAATTGTTATTTTTTAATATTTTGTTTACATTTTAAATACATTTGTAATAATAATTTTTATTTTATAGGAAAAAATTTATACAACAATGAACATGTTGCTATAAAACTCGTAAGTATAGCTTATTATTTAAATTAATTTATGCAGTTTCTTGTGACTCATGATGAATTTTTTTATTTAAAAATGCCATTTTTTGTAAAAATAGAAAATGAAGAGCTGAGTGAGAAAGGTGCTAAGTTCGAGGGTTCACTGTTAATTTTATAACTGCCTCATATTTCTTTTTTTTTTCTCTTTTAGAAAAAGTAAAGAATAAAAGTTCAAAAACCCTTGAAAAAAAAGAGAAAAATAACCATTAAAAAAAACTATACAATAATCATTCAACAGATTAAATTTTAATAAAATGTTGGGACACCAGAAGTAACTTTTTAAGCAGAATGGCATCTGTTCTTTGTTAGACTCCTAAAAATTATGATTATTTTTATAAATTATATGTAAAAATAATGTTTTAAAAATACTTTTCTGTTAGATTTTATCTTGAAAAATCAGTAAAGAATTGTACTGCTTTTAATTTGTATTTGACACATTTAAAAGGTATTTTTTAAAATCTGAATTATACCTAACATTCATTTATTAAATGAATATAATTTATATAAATGAATGTCACATCCATTAAACATTTATTTATTTGTAATGCTTTATAATTTCTGTTTTAAATTTTATAAAAATTTGATCACTTATCATATAAACAAATAACTGGAATATTATCAGATTTGCTGCTGTGCATTCATTATACTGTAATGAATTTTTTCATTTTAGGAATCCATGAAATCAAAAGCACCTCAGCTACACTTAGAATATAGGTTTTATAAATTACTTGGTAACCAAGGTGAGAATATTTACTATTTTTTAAAAATTAAAACTTGTAAGTTATGCTAGTTAAACTACAGTAGGGAACCAATTATCCGTAAGGATTGGGACCATTGCTATTCCGGATAACTGATTTTTCCACTTTTCTGAATCGCTACAAAAAGCTGTTTTTTTAATTGTTAAACCCAACTAAAAACGAAAATGATTTGGAAATAATCTTAAAAAGAAGAAAAAACGATGAAACGAAGATACAATAATGATTATTTCCAAAATGATGGTAAGGTAAACATCTTTCAAAAAAGAAAAATCGAAAAATCTAATGAGGAAAAAAACATTTTTTAAAAAAAAATGCGGGAAAATTTATTGAATTTCGTTCCGGTTTTCTGATTTCCGGATAACGGGTTCTGTACTGTACTTAAAACTCTTGTAAACTTTCTCAGATTTTATGTATGAGATTTTCAGATTAGATTTTTGGGGAGGTCTGGAAATATTGCATTTTTAGCTGTAACCTTAAAAATATTCTGTATCTAATGTGAAAAACAATTCATGGTAATAATAAGCTGCTAATAAGCTTCAAAGTAATTAAAACCAACAATGTATTACATTTACTTCTTGTAAAAATTCTAATAAAAGGTTAAATTTTCTTAGATTTATTAAAATTGAAATATAATTTGTACAATTTTTTGTTTAAAAGTTAAACAATATTTACCATAAAATATACAGTAGTTATATAAGATTTACCATAGTTATATCAAGCATTGTGAGTTTTTTATGATTTTTGTATTGTTTGTACTTATGTTCAAAAATGTTAATTTCAAATTAATATAATTTCCAACTAATACTGCCTTTGTAGCCTTTTAGTGGCCGAGGAAAATTTGTTTTTGTAGAAAATTATGAAATTCAAATGCTATTTGTTTGTTTGTTATTGTTTTTTATAATTTATATATTTGTGTATTTTACAATCTACATATTAAACATTCACCCAGTGAAATTCTGTTTCCTACAAATGATAATAGTTGCCATATTTTGTATCACAAAGTTACAGCTTCTTTGCTCATTCAGTAAAAAATGTATATAAATCTGATAAAATATTGTTTGCATAGTAAAAATTATAATCTGAAATTTAGTTAAGATTTTCTTGAAAATTTGAAAAAGTCAGAAAATTTTTATTTGATATTTTTCTTTTTTAATAATTTTGAAATCAAGTGGTAAGTCTAGCTACAAATGTAACAAGCATTTTTGTACAAATGGTCCACTTTTTTCAATTTATACTTTCTTTTAGTTTTATCAAAAACTATTTAAAAATGAAAACATTTTAAAGTAAATTTAGCTTGTTTACTTTAATTATTTTTTATTACAATACTTGTTGCAACCTGCATCAATGCAGGCATTTTTTTTTTGAAATGTGTAAAATTGCAATATAAAATATTTGCTTGAAAAAATTAATTTTTATCTCATCGGTAGAAAATAGTTAACTTAAACTTCTGCTTTAAAATGAAAAAAGTATTTAATTTTATTCACATTTTAGGAATTAGTATTATTGTTAGAAGTTCCAAAACTAGGACATCATTCTTTAAAAGTACAAAATTTCATCTTTAAACTGAAACCATAAAAAGTTGCTGTTTTAGACTCTACCCGAATATATTTAAACTTTGAACAATTGTTAAATACTACATAAGTATTAATTATTAAGGTTTGTAAAATATATTATTTATAACCACAACCCTCACAGTAAAGATAAATAAACAGTGCTTTGTATAAATGATTAAGTAATAAAATGATGTTTATTTTGTTAACTATTTCAATGTCAGAAATTTGCACTATAGAATATATATTTGAATCCAGACAATTTAATTTTCATTAAAATTTCAAAAATGTTCTGTTTTTAAAGGCCTACTGTGATTGTTCTGGTTGAAGTCTTATTATTTAACATTAGCTCTTATTAGAACTATAAAGATTACTTCTAACTTACAGCATGATTTATCAATGTTATTGTTTGTACTGTTACAAAAATGTAATGTATGTTAAATGTTAAGACATTTTAAATCACGGTTAATACATTTTCATGCAGTAAAAGCTTGAATTAAAACTTTAAACAAAAAAAAAAGTTATATGTCTGTGTACTAGGGAAAGAGTGGAATCTAAAATACAAAAAAAAATTCAAACTTTACAAATCTCGTGCTTTCATGCTCCTGAGTCAAGCCTAACTCGATTTTTAATACAAAAAAGTAGCTGCCACCTTAAATCATTAATTCTTCACCTCTGAAGGTTTAGCAACACTGTATTCTGTGAGTATTCAAATATTATTGAAACACATGTCTAAAATTAATTATATTTACATAATTGTGGCAAACATGCACCTGAATGAGAAAATAATTTAGTGCATAAATGGTTTCTATGTACACCAAATTAAATACATAAACATATTTTTTATTTGCATATTTTATTATACTTAAAAAATTGTTTGAAAATGCTACTGTTAACTTGTATCTGTTACTAAAAGTAACAATGAATTACCAGGTTTTTTTTCTACTTTTCTGTTCAAATAAGAGATGACAACTTATGCAACAGAAAAAGCAGAAGAAATCATCGGGAAAAAATTGCCTCAGAAGAAATTGAAATATCAAATATTAGCGTTTTTTAAAGCAATTTATTATTGCAGTCTAGTTTAAATAATAGTATTAATTTCTGAGCTATTTAATGTAGCATTTTCAGATAAGATTAAAGAGTAGTTTCTTTAGAAATTAAAAGTAACTTTTATCCTTCAATATTTTATGAATATACAGGGTTGCCACAGGCTACTAAAATGCAACTATTTGCTACTATTTTTGACCTTAGGCGACTATGGCGACTTTTTTTGCCTGAAAAACTAATAAAATACTTATATAATTTAATAAAGTGCTTATTATGTGATTTCTCTGAGGGGCAGTTTTGTTATTTTTAATTGTTTTTTTCTTCTATTAACATTCATATTTTATTGCAATTCAACTTTTATTTAGGTACGTATTTTCTAATATGTATACCTTTTATATTTGTACAAAACTTTTTTTAATTGGAGCATAGTTAGGACTGGGCGATAAATCAATGTATCGCGAAATATCGATTTAACGCATATATCAGTAGGCCGATGTAATGACTTTCGTTTTAGGCGATGCATCAGAAATCTGATTTAAGAAGTCGGAATTGGATTACAATCGAGGTTTAACGATTTAATATGCAAGGACCCTTGACTAGGCTAACTCTGTTACCGCACTAACGAAGACGATTTTGATTTCGTCTAGCTGCAGAGATGTAGATAGCGTTTTGCTATTAAGATGATGTTAGTTTTGTGATGTTGAATGACGAAGAGCGAATTGAATCAGAACTCCCGGTTTCGTGCGAGGATCAGCGTTGTAATATAGAACGCAATGCATAGTTTCTTTATGTCCATTTTTGTCTTTGGGATTTTGCTTATTTTGAAGATTATTTTCAATGGGACTTAAGTCATTTTGCGATCGTTGTGCATTTTATTTCGTCGGAAATAATTGTCGGGTTTCTTGTTAATTATTTTCAGTGAGTCATTTGCAGCGATCGTTTCGTTCTGCATTATTTCATACCATTTTTTTTCTGTCTGGGTTTAACGATTCTTGTCAATTATTTTTAGTAGACCTTCTGTTACTTTGCGATTGCTGCACAATCGCTGTTATCTTGAATTTTCGTTCTGAACTCAATAGATCAAATAATTGATTTTTTTCAATTATTGTTTTTTATCCTAAGCGATACAATTTAATAGGGGTATTTTGTATTTAACTTTGTTATAAAAAGTTAGTTTTTTAAAATTTATTAAATGTAATTAAGTATAATAATTTGATTGTTTTCAACCAATAAATGCTCAGTCGTTTTTAATTATAAAAAAATTAAAACAAAACTTACCTTTATTTAATTTGCTTTTATTTTTGAAAAAATGAAAACAAAGTTTTAAAAAAATTTGGCTATTAGTTGAAACAATTTTTTTTTTAATTAAAAAAAAAGGTTTAGTAATGTTTTGACGTTTTTAGTAATTTAACATTAGTACTTGAAGTATTTTTTTAAAATTTTTATTAAAATTCTTTCAATACTTGTTTGTTTTATAATTTGTTCGATAGTCAGTATAATTTTTAAACAAATGAATCTTTAGTCGATTTTATTTTCAAAAATGAAAATAATAAATAAGTAAAAATATTTTTACATTTATTAAGTACAGAATTTGACCATTAGTTAATAGTACTACTTTTTATTATTTTAAATAAGTAAATAAAAAAGAGTCTAATGATGTTTCAAAAGCGTGTTTTTTTTTCAACAAATAATAAATAAAAAAAAAAATTTCGAAAGTGAACATTTATTTGGTTTGTTTTCCACTTACGTTTTTTTTCTTCTTTTAATTTTTAATGCATGTATGTAAAATAATTTGTTGCAGTATTATTATTTTTAAATCAATAAATCTTAAATCATTTTTAGTTTGAGAAAAATGAAATAAAGCTTGGGTTTGCTTTTACTTTGACTTCTTTATTAATTTAATTGAAAAAATTAAGCAATTGGTATTGATGTCATAGTAGAATATGTTTCGAATTAATATTTTCTTTTGTACTAGATTTATTCTTTTTTATTTATTTTTGATTGATTTAAAGATTTCCCATAGGTAATTTTGAACGTACGCTAAATTGCGATGCATCACTATATCGTGATGTCTAACTGACGATGTATCACAATTTAAAATTTCTGACATCAACCAGTCCTAATAATAGTATTTGACAATTAAGTTATAATTTTAGTTATTTGGCTACTATTTTTGATACATTTTTGTTCCTGTTCAGGCAACTATTTTCATAGTTTTAGGCAACTATTTTTATGCTTGAGGCTACTAAAAGCAACTATTTTTGTTCATTTTTTACTGTGGCAACCCTGATATAGTAAAACCTTGTTTTTTCTTAAAAATTTTGTAAAGATGTAATAAATTTTTATTATCACTAAATTAACAGATCACGTACTTCACACATATCACTGTGAATGACCGTATGGGTGGTTGTTGATTTCCACTGGTGAATGTTGACAATCATATAGTTGCTTTGGTAAATGTCCAAAATATATAGTGTGTCTAGTTAAGTTCCACTGCCCTGTATGTCCTACATCAATGTTTTTTTAAGGTTCAGTGCAACTGCCCGGAATGCATTTAACCAGTATTCTGAACACTGATGTTTCTCCTAATCCATCCTCAGCAGATATTAAAGTATCAAATAAAATAATAGAAAAATAGTTATTTTTTTAAAAAAGGTGTTGATATGAAAAACTTTTTAATTTTCTGGAATTTTAATAAATTTATTTAAACTATTATTATAATTTTCATTGCTTAATGGTTCTTTTGGTCATTTTTAGTGTCTTGAAAGAAATAGGTTTCTTCTAGGTAGATAAAATGTGAATTTATTTTTAGAATATATCCAAGCCTATTTTATATGGAATTTTTAATCTTTTACAGAGGGTATACCCAAAGTGTTTTATTTTGGGCCATGTGGCAAATACAATGCACTTGTGATGGAGCTGCTTGGTCCCAGCCTTGAAGATTTGTTTGATTTATGTGATCGAAAATTTAGTCTCAAAACAGTTCTTATGATAGCTATTCAATTGGTTAGTATCATCATGCATGTATGTTTTTCATTTTTCAGGGAATTAAGTGAAAATGGAATGCAAAGGAGACTTCAAATAAATATTTCTTGATAATTTCTATGGAATATTAATCAAAACTGTAAAGCCATAAAAATATGTTCTCTAATTTTAAGTCAATCATTTAAAACTACACAATTTAACCGATTTTAGAATTTTTAAAATTTAATTCATAAAATAATAAATAAACTGATTAATAAAATGAAGCTGATGAAAACTGGGCATGTGCTGCATAAAAGTACTATTTTAAATAATAAAATCTTATGAAATTTTTTTTAAGAAAAATTTCACATTTTAAAATACTTTTGTCATTAATTAAAAATTACTCCAAAAAGTTTGTTTTGCTTATTGAATATTTCCACAGTTATAATAAAAAAACTTAAAGCAAAATTTTTTGTTGTTGTTTTATTTATTAAAATGCCTATATTTCCATGTATATTCAAGCTAGGTTTAAGAAATTTTGTGCAGTTATAGCTTATAATAATCAAATGATTTGTACAACTTGCAAGCTTATTGCTATATTTCTTGACAAAGGGTGTTGAAAACACTCTTTTTCGCTTGTAATTTATTGTCAGTCCCTCAAACCTCTAAATGCTATAAATTTTATTGATAGTTTACTTTTGATAAATTGCATGACCTAAACTCCTCCAAAATTATAAAATAATTGTCTTAATATTTCTTGAGAAATTTGAAAATAATGCACTTTTTAAAGAGCTTTAAAAAATATTTAAAATTCATCTTATTAAATGAATTTTAAAAAACTTCCAAAAACAGGTAGATCATATTGGTATGTTAGGAATGTATGAGAATTCTTTGTAATTTGTTAATTTGTCTTAAAATACCTTTATCGCATAATTTTTATAACAAGATTTTTTTAATGAAAAGCATTTTTTTTCAGAAGAAACTAAAATTCTGGTAGAATTATGGTTTATATTCATTATTTTTTTAAAAAAACTATTTGGTTTGACCCAACCAAGTATGAATAAATGTAACAATTTTATTTGTTTCAAGCTATTTTGTTTAATACTATTTCAAGGGTGATTTATAACATGTAATTTAACATTCTTTATGTTTTTTTAATATAGCCAGCTAAAGCTATTTTAATCATAAGCCTGGTTCTATGAATCAAGTATTTGTAAAGTATTTTATCTTTAAATGATAACTTTTTTTTAAAATCTATTTTTTTAATCATGCACGAATCTCCTTTTATTATTATTATTAATATATTTTATTATTATTGTTAATATATTTTATTATTATTAATGTATCATGGTGTGTAGCGTTTTTAAAAAGTGCTTAAAGGTGCTTATTTACGATTTTTGTTTTTTAAAAGCCCTTAAAGGCACTTTTTCATTGGGTGTTTTTAAAAAGTGCTTAATTTTCCCTCTCCCGAAATGAGTTTTTTTTCTTCTTTACCATGTCGATTTTCACCACGTATTATGCAGAAGCGTGCTTTTCAATTCAACGTCTTCACTATTCATTCAACCACAATTTATTTCAGCTTTCCATCGATCCATAGTGTATGAAGGCGCCAATCATTTTACATGTTTGATTAAATTCTTGCAAGTCCACATGCGTTACTGCTGAGCTACGTTCAGTTCTTTTACTGTCATGTGCAACTCTGCTGCATTTTGCAAGATATTCTCAATTTCATGCTACATTTTCCACCCTCTGATATCGAGCCAAAAAACCTCTTGATCTTTTTCTAATGGCTAATATAACCAAGAAAAGAGTTCTTTGTCAGAAACTGGTTTTTTTTTCATGATCATGTAAAGTCTTTGAAAATTATTTTGCATTTTATTAATATATGTAGTGCTTAAAAATATTTTCTGAGTGCTTAAAAGGTGCTTATTTTTTGTTGAGAGATTTGGCTACGCACCCTGTGTATTTTATTCTTTAATACTGTTTTATAGCAAATATTTTTCTATGTCTCAAATTAATACATTATTAAATCTTCTTTATATGGCATAAAAGAAAAGTTGTTTAAAGATAAATTCATCTTGCGTTTTTTTCAATTGTGTGTTTTTTCTTTTTTTAATAAAATGGTTTTAGAAATTTTAGTCAACCTGCATTTTATGTTACACCTTTTGAAACAACACAATTTTATCAGTTCTAAAATTAAATTAGAAAAAGATGTTTGTAGTTTGCATAAGTCTGTTCTACAGTAGGCCATAATGCATTTCTATTTAATTTTAATTAAATTTGACTCTTGGATGTATTGTGTATTATAAAACAATTTTTTATGCAGTAAAATATATATTTAAATGTATTGACATGATTTATTTTTAATAATATTTCAATCATAATTATATTTTTAAAAAAATCAACTAATTCTAAACAAAAATTCAAAAAAATCTGATGTAAATGAAATTTTTTTTTAAATATAAAAGTTTGAACCTTGCTATTATTAGATACTAAGTATTTTATTATTTTTCATAACCTATTTTTTCCCTTCCAGCTTCACCGTGTTGAATATGTTCATTCCAAACACTTAATTTACCGAGATGTAAAGCCTGAAAATTTCTTAATAGGAAGGCAGTCAACTAAAAAACATAACATTATCCATATAATCGATTTTGGTTTAGCTAAAGAATATATAGACCCTGAAACCAATAAGCACATACCTTATAGGGAACATAAAAGTCTTACTGGCACAGCTAGGTATATGAGCATCAACACTCACTTAGGAAAAGGTAAATATTTTTGTGTCATGTAATACTTTTTTTTTTTTTTAATTATTATTATAATTTTTTTTCCTTCAAATTTTACCCCAATAGCCTGTGTTCTGTTTATTAATTTTAAATGTTTGCTATTATATGAAAATATGTGACCATTTAAATGTAATTTTCCATAATAATTATTGAAATACAAGAAATTTAGATAAATGGGATAAAAAAATTACTTACAGAGCAATAGGGAAAAACCGGGAATTATCACGGAATTTCTCAAAAATCTTAGTAAAAGCAGGAAAAAGTTCAGTTATTTATCATTTTTTCTCCTTTTTTCACATATTTTTTTTAGAAATTACGATCGTTTAAATACTAAGTTATTAGGACTTACAAATTTTGAATTTGAGTATTTTGAATATAATGAACTTTTCAGTTTGTAGCTCACTGCCCTTTTTAAGGTCTAGAATAAAACCTGCCTTATTTTGAAATGCAAAGTGTTTGTTTTATAATATTAACCTGCCCATTAATGTTCTTATTTTATTTTACCCTGATTGATTCAATGATATATCATTTTCAATGATAAATTATTTATTTAATAAAATCCAATATTAAATATTATCTGGGTAATTTAAGAAAAATCCCTATTTTTTGGGAAAAGTAAGGAATAACAATTAAGAAATATTATATTTACAGAATTTTAAAACAACTAGTATTTTGAAAATAAACAGCGATTAATATCTGTTATGTAACTTTTTAAATGGTAGAATAATTGAATGAATGATATATACAGCACACTAATTGCATTTTAAATTAATCATACTACATATTACTATTTTAAAAAAAAGGAGCATGTCACTGTTTGTAACGCTTCTTGTAAATAACACCTAAGAGACATGATTAATTTTTCAGAGCAAAGTCGTAGAGATGATTTAGAAGCTCTAGGACACATGTTCATGTATTTCCTTCGTGGCAGTCTACCTTGGCAAGGTCTCAAAGCAGACACTCTCAAAGAAAGATACCAAAAAATAGGAGATACGAAAAGAGCTACGCCTATTGAAAATCTATGTGAAGGTTATCCAGGTAATAATTTTTTTCCTTACCTCTTAGTTTGAAATTGTCTATTAATTTCAAATGCTTTCTTTCTAATTGTCTTATAAGTCAGAAATGTTTAGTTAATTATTATTTTTTAGTTAACGTTTTCATTGTAGTTTTCTTTTATTACCTTTATAAGTGTCTTTTAGGTTGAAATTATGTAGATAGGAATGTTTTTTCTTCATAATTGTCTTTCAGATACATGTTCTCTTTAGTTAAAAATGTTTTCTTTTTATTAGTCTTTTAGTTAATGTTTTAATTGTTATGGATTAATGTTTTTTGAAGTTAAAAATGTTTTCCTTTTAATTTTCATTTAAGTTGAAATTTAATATTTATAATTATCTTTAAGGTTAAAATTTTTTTGTTTTGTGGATTAAAATGTTTTTTTTTTCTTTTTAATTGTCTTTTAGTTTCACATTTTCTTTGTTTTCTTTCTAATTGTCTTTTAGTTAATGTTTTATTTGTATTTGTTTTCTAGTTCAAAATACATTTTTTGCTATTAATTGTTTTCCTTTCTTAGATATAAATATTTTCATTGTAATTTTCTTTTAAGCTCAAATGTTCCCTTCATAATTGTTAAGCTCAAATGTTGCCTACATAATTGTTTTTTAGCTTAAAGTTAGTCATTTCAGATTGTAATTTATTGGCTTTTAGGATTTTATGTTTTATTTGTAATAACAGTGTATCTGCACACCTGGAAAGCCATGAATTTCGGTATTGAACAAAATTTGTCATGAAATGTCATGATTTTATCTATTTTTTAAAAAAAAAAAAAAAATCATGGAAAATCATGGATTTAGGTCGCTCAAGAATCAAAATTTTAAAATCAGGGTTCGTATAGACTCCTTATACTCCTTAGAAACTCCTTGGAAATAAAAAGATCTCCAAAGAGTACTTGGAACTACTTAGATTTCCAAATTAGTCCTTTAACACNACTCCTTAGATTATTGTGTTGCATAGATGAACTTACTAAGTCTGCTGATGAATTTGCTGCCCATGAGGGGAAACGAAACAATATAACTTAGCTGTCAAAATCTAATAGTTTAGGAAAAACTTTAAAAGAAAAGAAATTGAATTGCAAGAGTTGAAGAAAAAAATAACAGCAAATAATTTTACATGTTACAAGCAGACTTAATTAATGATTTACTGTGATTTTTTTTATTTTTATAGATGAATTGCCTTAGATTTTCTTATGTATTCAAGTTTAAAAATATAAGATTGGTAGGTTTTTATGTTAATCTTTAACATCTGTACTTTAACAAGATTGATTAAAATATTTGAAGCTGGAAAAAGTGTTTATGTGTGAAAGTGATAACTTTATTTATTTTTCTTGATGAGGATTGACAAAGTCAAAATTTATTTCAAAAGGGCTTGAAAAAAATATCTTATGCAAAATATACATTTTTGCAAGTTCTTTTTAGTAACTGCTTTTTGATTTAAAAAAAAACTGTCTAGTTATCTTTTACGCAATGTTTTTAAATTTTGGACTCCTTGGATTTCTTCTTCTGATCTCTGTATGAACCCTGTAAAATAGAATTTACCCCTTACTTCCAATTTCATTGTGTTCTGAGTAACTGAATTTGTAACAAAATTCCCACTCGCAGTCATATTTTATTAAATTATAAAATGTTTGTATCATTCAAATTCTAGATGAAGCAAGCCAGTCATCAGCAAATTTTTTTTATTCCGAAATGAGAACAGAAAAGTCAGGAGTATTTCTTACCTTCGCTGAACAAGAAAAGTATCTTTAGAATACAATTCTGCAGAATTTTTTTTTTGTTTTTTTGTTTTTGTATTTTTTTCTGCTATTTTATTGCTTCAACTCTTTTTTTACTCTGTTTTTTAAATTTAAAATCTATAAATATGAAGTTGCAGAGTACAACAGTTTTGGCTATACCTATCATTTCAATTAATGTTATTATAATGCCTTTTTAAATTTATTGTTGTTTTTGTTGGAGAAAATAGTAACTTCATTAAGTCGTGACAATTTCTTGGAATTAGTCGTGGAAAGTCACAAGTTTGAAAATCAAAAATGTGGCAGATACCCTGTAATAAACTTTTAATTTGAAATGTTTTCTCCATAAGTGACTGTCTTTTAGATTTGAATATTTTGATTGTAATTGTCTTGTATCACTTGTCTTTGTTTTGAAATGTTTTTTTTAAAAATCAATGCACTATAATTTTTATTTAAGATGAAATGTCTACTTACTTGCATTATGTAAGGAGACTGGATTTCTTTGAAACTCCAGACTATGACTATTTAAGAAAATTATTCCAAGATCTCTTTGATAAGAAGAAATATGTTGATGATGCGGAATTTGATTGGACAGGAAAACAACTGGTAATGTTATAATCTTTTGTATTTTGGCATGCTATACTCCCATTTGACAACCACTTTCATGTTTAGAATTTTTTTGAGTGATTGATTTTTTTGTATTTAATTTCTCTTAAAACTCTTTTAACTGTTATGCTTTATTTGTATTCGCTGCTATGCATGCACTTTGTTGACTTCACATTTTGCTTTCTTGTTCATACGCTACCCATGTTCTTCCCATAGCTGCAGTCCAGTATGAGTAAATTTTATTAGTTTTTATAAACAGGGTGCATAGAGTTTTTAAAAAGTACTTAAAGGGGCTTATTCAAGGCTGCCACTCCACAGAGAAAACCTGGAAAATACAGGGAATTTAAAAATGACCTAAATTAACAGGGAATGTTTAGTTTTTCCTTACAATACAGGGAATTTTATTTTAGTCTTTTTAAAAAGTGGTCACTCAAAGCGCATTCTATGGGATATTTAAGGATGATATTTCTGCTACACTAAACTGTTTCATTTACTATAGCATTATTTGTTATAAGCATTATTTGTTTAAAGTAGTTTAAGCTGTTCCTTATTTCTTCAAGTTTTCCAGCAATTAAAACTAGTATAGTTAGCATAATATAGCTCAGACGCGAGCACAGTGATAGTTTTTTTCCTCTTAATATATTGTGTATAATACGTACTGGGAAAACACATGTTTTTTTCCCAGATTTGAGTGACAACCCTGTTATGTTCGATATTCGTTTATATCAGTGACATTTTATTCCACGAACCACTTTGGCATGTCGTTGAACCGTAGCACACAAAAGAGCCAATTATTTTACATGTTGGAGGAATTACTGGTGGGTCCACATGCTGGTTTCAGTGGAAAGGATTCTTGCATTTACACATGCAGCTTTTTGCGAGAGATTCTCGATTTCAAGCCTCTTCTGGCGCCCTCTGAAATGGAACAGAAAATCTTTAGAATTTTTTATGATCATGGGGACCAATTGCCCATTGCCAAATATTTCAACATTAGCAAAACAAAATTTTACTTCTCTCTCTTGTTTTCTTTGCTGGTGAAGCTCATTGTCTTCATCACTTGCAAGCCGATGACATTCTTGCTCTGTTCGATCAGTACCACAATCCTTGGACATGACTTAGGAATCATTCACTAATTACTTACTTTCATGCAGGTTCAAAGCTGTCGACAATCACCAATCTTCATCATTACGAAATTTTTTGTCTCCCATCTATTCATTTAATTTAATAAAAGATAAAAACTACTGAGATTTATTAATTGCGGGAGTTTTTCCGTAGGAACAATCTCCTAAGTGTATAAAGTTTTTTTTTTTTTTATATTGTAGTGTTATTTCACTAATTTGTTACTAAAATTTTCAATGCCCTATAGTTTTATTTTATGGCACACAAAAAAAAACCTCAATAATTTTTAGTAGCAAGATTTTAAATAAAGTAGGAAATTAGAAGTTTTTCACTGTTTTAATATTCAGCAAAGACAATAAAAAATCTTATATTGTTCAACTTTGTCTTTTCAAATAACTTTTAACTCCTCTCTTTATCATTTCATTTAAAAATAATTGAAATTAAAAACTTAATATTTTCAGATTCGCTGAACGTAATGAATATACCAAATAATAATTTGCTTGCGTCAGAAAAGTTTAACTTCAATATTTATTATATTTTCAGTTCGAAATTATTGAAAAACTTTTTAATCATTCAATTTAAAAAATACTGAATCAAATTACAAATTAAAAAAATTTTTTTTTTGAGTGCCATTCTTTAATTTTTGTTTGTAATATTAATTTATTAAAATTTTCTTAGTGTGATTAATTCTCTACACATCTTCGTCAAATCAGTATGATCAATAATATTAATCTTGTAAATGATTTAGATGAGTTTACATTTATAAGTAATTTTTATTTAAATCTGAAAAATACACTTGGTAATTATTTCTAAACTTTTCCTTTTTCTGGTTAAACTAATTGTAATTTTGCATTAAAATTATCTTTTTTTGCATAATTGAAAAAATAATTATTAATTTTAAAAATAGAATGAGCTTCTCAGTACGGAATCCGTGTAAAATTGTGCACAAAATGTTATGGTGGCTGATATAATAAAAAATGGAGTTGCTAATGTAATAAAAAAATAGAGTTCTTCATCAGAAGCTTGTTGTTTTGTTATGATTTTGTTAAGTCATAATGTAAATATTCATAAAATTCACAAATGCAAATATCTTTGCATTTAGTGAATATATTTTTTGAATGCTTGAAAGATGTTTATTTTTTTGGTTAAAGATTTGGCTATGCACCCTATGTAAAACACAAAAGTAGCTGGATTTTTTTTTAATGTTAGATTTTCTAGAAAAAATTTTTCATATTTTTTTAATACTAAAAGTATAAGAACATGTCGACAACTGACTCTTCAAATGTATTAAAATTGATTATCTTTAAAAAATTGTTTATTTTAAAAGTTAATAATGTGCTTATGAGTTGCTCAGTTAATGCAGTTTCTTTATTTTGAAAAGAAAAGAAAAGAAGAAGAGTAATTGGCCATAAAAGAGTAATTGGCATGCATTCAAGAATATACATGAGTAAATGTTACGTTTCCACATGCTCAAATAAAAATGAATATTTGTGAATTTCAAATTTGTTTAAGCTTGTTGTTGCTTGATTTTTCGGCTTAATATTTCATATAAATTTTCTCTGAATGTTAGTAGTAGTAATTGCACTAAATTTTTTTTATATGTTATACAACAGGCTTAGAGTTTTTTCCCACCTCCTTTAATGATTGGCAACAATATTCTTATTTTTGTTTTTATTTGTCTACTAGTGCACTAGTATTAAGGAATATTGTGATATTGTAGGAATAGGAATATTGTAAATCATTTATTTGATTTGTAAACTTTTTTTTTTAGTATTTTTAGTAATGGAATATTTTTGTTTTGTTTTTCAATTTAATACTTTCATGTATGTCCTACAGATGTAGGAACAATTGGTTCCTTCATTCAACATGCCCATTAAACAGGTCTGCCGAAATGATCAAAAATAAGAACTAGACCACACTAAAATTGAGAATTCATCTAACACCACACGCAGTTTCTAAAGTACATTTAATAAAGTATTTTCAAGGATTGGGAATCTCCTTTCTTTTTTAATTTATTTTGTGTGATTCATCATAATAATGTTATTAATTCTGTGGTTTTTAAGGATTGCTCTAAATAAAACTAGTTGTACTTGAAAAGCTTTTTTTTTTTTTTTTTTAATTTTTTTATTAAATTGTTAAATTTGTACTTAATTATAACCTAATCACTGCATCATTTAACTGAATAAAAATATTTAATATCTTTACCAATAATTAGAAAAACATTTCTTCTTTAAATCCGGATTGTGAATGTGTATGCTGAACCAATTTTCTAGTATAAGAAAAGGGATCTAGCGTGCCAAACTAACTGATGTTGCTACCCATGTGCTGGTGGTCTCTGAATTTCTTGACTAACAACTGGCACTTGAAGGATTGCTCTATGTTTTTCATAATTAAAATATTTATAAATAACACTGTATTCTTGATAACGATAAAGATAACTTTAAAAGAAAATTTATACAGTGATCAAAACTTTCCATTAGCTTTGTCAAAAAACTCTGTTCATGTTATCATGTTAGCTCTGAAAAAAGAGTATGTGAAAAATGCATACTTTAAAAAGATTATTTTGAAATATTTTAAAAACTCTATAGAATATTTTTTTATGCTATAGAATATTTTTTTATGCTATAGAATATTTTTCAAGAAAGTCTCAAATCTCTATATGTTTAAATTAGTATAATTATTGCATTTGCATGTATGTACAAGCATGTTTAAATTGCTTTATTTTTTCAATATGTCAATAATGCCTTTCTTTGTAAACTTTTTGTCTGCATGCTTACCTTTGATCTTTCTTGTGGCTGTTCTTTCTCTCTTCTGAAGCCCCAAAATTTCCTGCAGTTGCAGCAGTTGCGTAATGCCCCACCATCTGATATATCAGGGAAGGTCGGTATATGAACTGCATGGTTGTATTTTGTAGTTGCTCTTTGGTCATATTTGTCATCCCATTTTGTAACCAGAGAGAGTTGTTCTTCAATCTCTCTTATTTTGTCATTTCTTTCCAGATCATACTATTAACACATGTTTTGATATATTCTGTAATACATAAATTTTTTGTGTGAATTTTCTAAAATTTTCTAATCATCATCAGCTTTATTAAAGTAAAAATGTGATTAAATCATGGCTTTTTAGTAACAAGGCATAATTATTGTTATATAGAAGAATATTTAAGGAAAAAGTCAACTGGAAAATGTATTGAAGGTGGCCGTCTTGTTGTACGCACAACGCTTTTTGAATAATGAGCTACAAAAACTAAGATATAACATAATGTAATATATATTTTTTACACAGCTCAATGCTGAAATCGTGAAAATGCCGAGGGTAATTCTCCGCAAATAGGCAAAACAAGGTATTTCAGTTTCTTTTTGAGAAAAGTGAATAATTTATTTATTCAATATATAGTTTGAAAATGCCTTTAGTATATTATCTCATAGGTTTGGAGTATTATTTCAAATAAATATTTTTATTAAGTTTTAAACTTATAAAATCTCATTACATTTCAACTCTTACAAATACAAAAAAAGTTATTTCTCTCTGAAATACATATACTCAATTTTTATCTATTAAAATTAACCCTTGTAGTGTTGTCTCTATGTATTAAGTTAGTTTTTTTGGTCTTTATAAATGGGTTCTTTATTTAGCGAAAAAGTTTGAAATTGATTATTCATATCATTCCCTCCCTCATAACAGTTCAAACTGTTTCAGATGACTGGCATTGTTTAAGTAAAAATCATGTTCATGTTTTAAGAACATGTTCTGATGAAACTGCAAAACAAATTTGAGTAAATTGGGAGGAGCTCCACTGCATGTAAAAAGAAACTGAATAAGCAAATTAGATGAGTGACACTCTGATTAAATTTATAAAGTTAATTTATTTTCTAAAAACGTATTAATAAGTGTTTTCTCTAATGGAATAGTTAAGGAATTATTCTTCTGGGAATAAAATTAAGAAGTAAATAGTGCTCAGTTTTTCACTCCTTTACTTATCATTCTCTCATTGTGAGATAATGACTCTTTTATAATTTATGAATTATTAATTTATGTTCTAAATGTGTATTAATAAGTGTTCTAAATTCCTCTTAATGAAATAGGTTCAGAATATTAATTTTGCATGCTTGCAAACATTTTAGCATTTCATAAAAAGTTTTTTCTAGTGGTAGTAAAATAATTATTGAAGTAATATTGTAGACAAATAATAAATTCACTTTTCACCATCACTCAAAACAAAATAAAATAAGGAGTTCTTCTTTATGTATATTTAAGCTGTTTAAATGTAATGGTAGTTTTCAAAAATATATTGAATCATATTTGTTAAAACAGAAATCAAGCATAAATGAAAAATTTTTGCAATCTCGTTAAATGTAACAAAAAGATTTTCTGGAAAAGTTGGCAGTTTGGATATTGTTATTTTTGTGTATAAATTTCAAAAGATATGTTATTTTCCTCCTTCCCCTCACTGTAAGAAAATGATACTTTTGTGAGGAATTGATACAAATGTTTTTTTTGTTTTTTTTTAACCTATGTAAAAATGATATTTTTGTTTTACTTTATTATTTTTTACTGCAATTAAGGACTGACAAATTCTTAAATATACTCATTAAAATTATTTTTAAAATATTGATAACTAAAATTATTCCCGCTCCTTATTATCATTCCCTTTCTTTAAAAACTTATAATGATTTTAGCATTTTTTGGAGCATTAATGTCCAAATGAGCTGCTATGTCTGTCTTGTCTCGTGCCTTCTCGCTATCTCCAAAAAATTTAAAATTTCTGCCGTAATTTTTTGTCTTGTTGTCACTACCTGAATAAAGCCTATTTGTTGAGATTGATCCTGTTTGAGTATTTAAATTCTATTTGAAAATAACAGAGGTGCTCCAGAAAAAATCTGGATTTTCAGATTTTTTGATAATCACGATCCAGAAGTTTCTGGAAATCCAAGGTCCAGAAGTTGCAAGAAATCATGGATTATATTTATGTATAAAAATTCTTGTATGTTTTATTTAGAAATATTAGAACTAGAATTTATACTTGGCATATTATTCATTTGTAATTATTTTTTCTGGTAGAATAATAAATGTGATTAGAAATAAAAGTAAACTTATTCATACATTCCTTTAGAGTATGCTGCTTATAATTTATTTAGAATTTCATGTTTGGAAATTATCATTGACTTAAATTTATAAAGACATTAATTTTTATGAAATGCGTCATTCATAATTTTACTCAAAAAATTTTCAGGATTTTTGAGTCTCACAATCACCCCTGAAATAATATGAATGATTTGCGCAGTTACATTTTTGCTTGAATGCCCACAATAACATAAATTATTAAATGTAAATAAATTAAAATATACAGATACAAGGTAAATTATAATGATGCCTTGAATTCATAGATATACAAATTAAGAAGGAAAAGAGCGAAATTAAAATTTTCACTTACCTCTAAAGTTCTTTATCATTCCACAGAAAGAGAATTTACAACAACAAGTAACAGTATCAAGTTAATGCAATGTTTGTTTTGAATTTTTAAAATAGTTTTTTTCTTCTAATTTATCTATCGTTACAATCTTAAAAACTTTATTTTTTTTAATTATTTGTTGTTCATATATAAAACTTTATGAGATAACATATATTAATGCAAACACACAACCCATTGTCATATACAAAAATTACATTATGTTAAAGATTGCTGTTTCAGAGCACAACCATAAAAGATTTTTTTTTCTGATAATTTTTCTTTCATATTTTTATTGATGCACAAGAAAATATCAAAGGTCAAGTTAAAAGGCTATCTGGGATACTTTGAACTATAAGCCATTGTTTGCGCATCTCTGTGGTATACCATGAATTATACTAAAGGTTATGGTTATCCTATTGTGCTCAATTAAGTATTTTTATGTAAATATGTGCATCCTATAAAGTTTGATGCTAAAAAATTAGGATTATGTCTGTAAATATAATAAGAGTTTATCCAAAAATGATTTAATTTGAGTCTAATGTATTAGATGTTTTTAAATATAATTTTTTCTTAGCCATTAAATGCAAAGGTTTTAGTAGTAATTTGATACCACCATGAAACCTGTCTAAATATTGTTAGGACATAATAAATATATTTATATGTTGCTATAGTTAGCTTGAACTATGTTTATGCATCTGAGATAATGTATATGCTCATTGTAAACATTTCTGTTGTGTTTATTGATTTATTTTACTATTTCATTATTTATTTTTCAATTAAAATGTGTAAAATCTATGATTTAAACTTCAAAGATTTTTCCACGATGCCCCCAATACATTTTTTCCCCCCATTTGAAAAAGTAGACATAGTTGACTAAAAAAATTTTATATTTATATATATATATATTTTAAGTGGAAATAGTTCATATAAGCAAGCAGGAACCAATGTACATGCTTATTAATTTCTGCTACCTCACTCTTCTTGCATCTGTGATGACATTACCTGCATCATTAAAAAGTTTAAGCACTGAATCTTATTTTAATCTAAATATTTTCATAATGTTTTTTTTTTTTTTTTTTTTTTTTTTTTTTTTTTTTTTAATGAGTTTATTTCTCAAAAAATAATTGCAAAGTATTTATTTTGCCAAGGAGAAAAGAAAGATCATCTAAGTTGTTATGCATCATATAAATAAAATTTATTAAAATTTACTTTTAATTTATTGAAACTGTACTCATAGCCGCCAACTCTACTGGCTTTTGCGTTTTTTCTGGTCTACTGGTTTAATAAAAATTCTCTTGGTTTTTTTGTATACTTTAGAAAATTCCCTAAATTTTAGTTACTTTCATAAAAAAAATCCCTACTGAAATAGAAATTTTGCACATTTTATTGCTTGTTATAATATAATATTTAAATAAGTATTAATAATACATAATAAAGTGAGCTTCAATTATAAAAATCAGTTTAGAACTTTTGTTTTGTTTTAAAATGTTCATTTTCTTTTTTCTACAGAGCTCCCTTTTTAAATTAATTATAAAAAAAAAACTTCTAACTATCTTTGATGATTTAAGTATTTATTACTATTCAAAATTAGGAGGTGACATTTCTAGTTCATGATGATTCATTTCATGTCAATCATAACTGGAAAATATTGCAGTTTGTCTACTTTGTTGACTATAAAAATCCCTTAAATTCCTTATGTGTAATATATTTAGTACATTATGCAACAATTATCATGAAATTTATATTTCATAAAATCTACTAGATATTTTTCTATCCATGTTGACAGCTATGTGTACTAATATAATAAAAATATTACTAAATGAAATAAATAAAGATGTGTGCTAAGATAAACAAAAATTCAAATGTGTTCTGCAGTAATTATTTAATTGTCTAAATGGGATTGTTGAATTTCAATAGGTAGTTCAAGTTAGCTTGGATTTGTAATCACTGTTAATTTATTAATATTTTTATTTTCTTTAAAATTTTTTTTGTTTTTTTTGTTCATGGTACGTATGTAACTGCTATAAAAGGTTATCCTCATAAAGATTTAAATGCTAACTCATTCTAGATTTTTTATTGTTCAAGGTGAGCTAATATTATTGAAAATGTTTTGGCCTCATTGCATATTTTGAAACAATAAAGTACTACCAATTAATCCATTTATTGTTCTCTTAATTTTAAAAATGTATAACCCCTCTTTTTTTTCATGGTACATATATGTGCGCTATGAAAGATTATCTTTATGAAAGTTTAAATCTAAACTTCTGGATTATTTAAAAATTAATTGAATGAATTTTTTATGAGCTAATGTCATAGAAAATGTTCAGTCTTGGTTGCATGTTTTGAGGCATTGGGGAGTGCTACCAATTTAGAATCGTCTATGTCTAATTATTATTTTTAACAGTAGTCGAATAATATTTGCTCATGGAATTACTGTTGATGTGGTATTTGCATAAATAAGTTTTTAGTTTTATTTTTAAAAAATTTATGCTTTTATTTTTAATGTTCTTTTTTTTAAATCTAAAATTTTCATTTCGAATGTGACAGTATTGTTTTATAATTTTGGAATGCTTTTACTAATCTTGTCTTACCATAAGTAAACTAACATGCTACTAACCACTATTATTCTACATTCTTCCCTATACTTTCATCGCTAAATCTAGCATTATTTTGGTGCCAGCATTTTTCCTACTATTACTTGAGAATTAACTTATAATGCCAAGCGAACTGCTAAATTTCTAATATTAATTTCTTTTCTCCTACAAAAATTTATTATTGAAGGCAACCAGCATAGGGAAAAAGTGTTTAAGAAATCTACACAGAAATGTCGCTGAGAAAGCTCGGAACACTTTCAAATAAGTCAGAATGACTCTAGTTGTGGCTAATTGCAGATTAATGCTTAGCTTTTATTTCTTCACTTCTGACTGCTTTTTCTTTAAATTATGTTTTAAAAAAATATTAATAAATCAACTACTATCTTATCTGGGCAGTATATATTGAATTAGTAAATTTTGTTGCTTTTTATTAAAAAAAAAAGGTTATCAAAACAAAAAGTTGGACTTACATGTCCCTTTTCTCCAATAGTCCACTCCTGTAGGGTCTATGCAGACTGCCCAGGAAGTGCTAGTGTCGCCCAACCGGGAGAGGCACATAACTTCTGATTCTAGGGTGAGTTGGTTCTCTTTTGCATGTTACATTAATTAAACTGACAAAAAAAAAACTGTTGTGGTTTCTTTCCTATCATTTTTATTTCTTCCTCTTTTTATGTTCACCTCCCATCTTCAAAAGGTTGTTGAATGTCTTTCCGCTTTCTTTTCCTTTAGATGTTCCCACTCACATGTCCATTTTTAAAGGTTGTGTCATTAATGCTTTTGTCACCCTCTTTTTTTTTAAAAAAAAAACCGGTTTTGTGAGGTTGTTGTAAACTGTTTAATTTATCATTTGTGTTTTTAGGCAATTTCAATTGAAATCACTCTTCTTTTTTTCTTGTATATTTTTTGGAGGGAGAGCCAGAGTGTCAACAATTTAATGATTAAAATCAGTTATTTGATCAATGATTTTGAAGAATTCAGGGATCAAAACAAAGCTTTCTAAAACCGGACAAAACTTATTACTGTCACAATTATGAAGAGAGATCTGTCTGTCTCAGAAATTTTATTTTTATGAAACTGGGATTTAAGTTTACATTTTACAATACTATTAAAGATATATTTCTAAGATAAATTCAATCAGTTAATAACCGTGAATAAAATTTAAAAAATAAATTGATTGAAAGAAAAATTAAAAATAAGGAGTTATTTTCTGCCTTTTGAATGTTATTGCCCATTACAGTTATTTAGTTGTTTGAACTTAAAATTTTTTCTTTGAGATTGTTTTCTTTTTTTTAATCTCCATATTATTCTAAATAGGGAACAAAACTGAAGCACAATAGACTGGAAAAGAATATGCCCATAAAAAACTAATATATTGCTCTTGAAAATTAGCTTGATGGCAATTATTTTAAGTTTGAAAATTAATTTAAAACAAAAACTTATAAAAAAAAATTATAGATGAGGGGATCTTGCAACATACGGGCTTTGTTCTTCCCTAGGGTTCGCCTAGAAAACTCAGCCCACAGAGACCCAGAAGGTTTTTTCAATGGTCCACTTAAAAAAAAAAATTGTTGCAAATAACTGGATTTTTTCACATATTATCATTTCTAATCAGTTTTCTTTAGCAATTATCAAACAAAATGGTTCTTTGAAATTATCAAATTATTGTTTGATAAATTCAACTTAGTTGTTTTTTCCACAAAATTAGAAAAAGTAAAGCTTTTTTTCTTTTCCTTTTTTGCAAACAAAATTTAACATAATATTTTTTCAGTATATACTTTATCTTATATTTAGTTTATATAAGTATGCATGTAGAACAGGGGTGTCAAACTCGCGGCGTGCTGGCCGCATGCGTCCCGAGATCAACATTTTTGCGGCCCTATCAATATGTCCGACGCATAGTAAAAATAAAATAGAAATATTAATTAGAATAGAAACTAGCATATAAAATTATAATATACTTTATTTATAAACTATACGGATCATTTTAAATTGTATGCGCGAAAATGTAAAATTCTAATTGGCTTGCGGCAACTGCCATCCAGGGAAACTGCTTTGTATCAGAAATACGCCGAAAAAATTTCTTATCTTAGAACAGAATTTGAAACAAGGTTTAATGATTTTAATTCTTTGGAAGACAAATTTTGTTTGTTTTCTTCGATTTTCGCAATAAATATAGACTTAGTACCCAGTAATATGCAAATGGAATTGATTGAGATTCAGTGCGACTCAAATTTGAAGGCAAAATTCACTGAAGTGAGTGCACCTGTATTTTACGAATATTTGCCGCAAGGTTTGAAAATACTCGAAAATTCGCATATGAAATTGTTTAGTATTATAGAATTATTTTAATTAAGTATTTATCAGTGAGAGTAATTATTTTCTGTTAGGAATGGAAATAAATCTCCTGTCCGAAATCGTACACTCACGTTGGGTCAATTTTGAAAGTAGTCTCGGCTAATAAAATTTCTCCCAAAATAGTAAAGATAGTAGCAGAGAAGAGATGTCAAATATCAAGCAATAATTTTACTTTATATATGTATATTACAATGTACTATTGAAAATAAAAATATTTGTTTCTATGAACACTGATATATTTTTTTTTGCGTCCCACCTAAAGTTAAGCATTGTTTGTTTGGCCCAAGTTAGCTTTTGAGTTTGACACCCCTGATGTGGAATATATTAAAAACCCTACTTGTACTGGGCAAAATTGTGCCTTTTCATAAAAATCCACTTATCCCTGGAGAAAATTGGGTTCTTTCATGGAAAAATGCACGTGGGTAGGATTTTTCCTTAAAAAACCCGTTTTTTGCAAGCCTTGCTCTTTACAGTTTAAAAATCCAAAAATCATGTTCGCAAAGATCTTAATAACTAACTCGATTTGTTGCGGATAAATTAGTTTTCAGTTCATAAGAAAACAATTTCCATTAAAGGGAGGATTTCCCCCCCCCCCTATCTATTGGTGGTAAAAACAATTCTTATGGGTACAACCAAAATGACATAACCTTAAATTTTTGATATGTGTGTGTGTGTTTTTCTTCAAGATGCTATCTGGTTTGTCTCCCAGTCATCAGTGGCATGTTCTAATTTATTAATATCAGAACTCGGCCTCTTATTCCATTTGTTTTTGTGTAGTCACCTTGACATCCTGCTTAAGCATTGTAAGAGTCTTGTCGGCGGTTTATTTTCTGCAGAGCTGTCCATTGGCTGTTATTATTGTGTAAATGTACCATCTGTAATTGTCAAAGTGTGTACCATTAATCTTGCATTTTTATTTGAATCTTTTGAAAATGAATCTTTTTTTAAATAATTATACAAAAATCTTGTGCTTTAAATTTGTGAAATGTACAGAAAGCATTGCATATTGAGGCCTGGATTTAAAAAAAATAATAATAATTTTTTTTTACAATTTCATTATATTACATCTGCTGGTATTTAAATTTTTATCAGACAGCTTAGCTTAATATGAATGAAGGAAACTTTATAAATTCTTAAGGTTTTTTTTTAACCTTCGTTCTGACAAAAAATTTGGTTTAGATTGTTTTTGTATTCGAAAACAATAGTTGTTTATTTATTTTTTTTAATTTACATGTCGTAATTATTTTAATAAATCAAAATTTATAATTTTTTTATTCTTTCTCAAATATTTAAGCATGACCTCCTTGTTAAAGATATGGTTGGAATATAGTTAGAATAAAGATATAGTTTCTACTTACAGTGAATTTATTTAATTTGACTCATTAACCGTAAATGTTTTTAAATTTGCATATTTATGAAAATAATAAAAATGTTCTACTTTCTTCATAATCGAAACTAAAGAGACAAAAAAGAAGTGCCTAACATTTTTCCGTAAACAGGTTTAGAATTCTCTTTCCTCCGTAGACAAATGCGTAATACCTTCCTTAACTTAAATGAATTCTGTTTTTGTTTTATCTTTTTATCAATTGATGACTTTAATTAGAGAATCTTGATCTTTTTCGAGTATTGCTTCTTTAAATTGTTTCTACTTTATCAGTATTTTTGTATTATTTTGAGAAGTGGGTCATTTAGTAAAGCTGTGTTGTTGTTTTCAGAACAAGAGGCCACGCCAGTTCGGTTCAGTTATTTTAGTTGATCATTCAAAGCCACCTGAGATGAATGTTCTGAGCAGCAACTTGGCTCCGAATGATCGCCATGATTCCGTCCAAGTCGTCAGCTCCACATATAGTGAACTTGCTCCTGACAACCCAGGACACTCAAACACACCTATTGCAATACCTACTGAAGTCGAAGTCGTCTCTGAAACAAAGTAAGATATCATATGCTTGATGAGGGGGTTTCTGATGCACCATAAATGGGCTGCATGCATTGCTAAACAATGTTGGGGTCAGGAAAGGAAGTTTGTTTAATCACTGGCCCCAAAGACCATTAACTAATGGTTACCGTTTACAAGTCTCCATTAGATATTTTGTGTTATTTAATGAAAAATTACAATAGAAGGACTGTAATGTTTACATCTAGGATAAAGTGTGCTATTTTGTATGAAAAACGCAGGACAAAACAAACTAAAAAATGTAAAGTAATAAATAAATAAATTATAAATAAAAAGTTTACCATCACTCCCCATCGATTGCTGGTCTGGGAAATGAATGGTAATTATTTTATGGTTAATTTTAGTGGCCTCTAACCAATGGAACATTGTTAAGACTACTTGAACAGCAAAATTAAAAACAAATAATGACCAAAATATTAATAAAAACTAGATTTCTCAAATTATATTGAATTTTGTAAATTCGTATCAACAAGCAATTTTCCAAATTTGCATAGCTAGATCGTCAAATATTATGTTAGGTTTAGATCAATTCATGTTTGTGAACAAATAGGGTGAGCAAAATGAAATCAAATTATTGTTTGCAATTAACTAATGGGCATAATTTTGTTAGCCTCTTCAAGAATTAATCCTAATGTATATGTGTAAGTAAAAGAACAAAAATGTTTATTAACAATAAATTTATACTTTTGTTTTACTCATAATAATCAGGGCTAAAGTTTGGATAAGCTAAAAATTTAAAAAAAAAAAGAAATTATGTCCTTAAAATGCAAAACAAAGGCCTCTAAAAGCCATCAAAAATGACCTTTAAATAAAAATGCCTTTAAAAATATTCAAAAACATGTTCATAATTATATTTTTTTTAAAAATATGTCATAATTGCATTTATAAATTTAATAAAAAATAAAGAAAAAATTAAAGTAAATGTGTAATTTATGAATAAATACCTGATAGATATTGATAAACCAGAATTTATTAATATTTTGTTATTATTTGAGCATCAGAATTGCAATGTATTAACAAATGTTTTCAATATTCTTCAAATCGAAATATTGCTTTTCATCTGTAAGCAAATTCTTATATTTTGAAAAACTCTTTTTCAACATCAACACTTGTTTTTGGAATATATATATCAGGCCCCCTATGGATCAAGGAGAACAGGGTAAACCTGGAATTGTCAGGGAATTTATTTTGACTCTAAAAAGCCAGGGAATAGTCACGGAAAATTACAATTTTTTACAAAAATCTGCAAAATTCCTACATCATATCTGGAAAATTACCAGCCTCAGAATCGTCAGTAACACCAATTAGTTATTGAGATTCTAGCATTCATTACAAATATTTGTCGCAAAAATATCAAATTTTATTGACACTTATATGCTTTCATCCTTATTTGTTGAAATTTTTTTTTTTTGCTCACAAAATCTAATACTTGACTTGACAAATAAAAAATCAAAGCTCTCTGATGAAAAATTGCATGATATATATAAAATATATTTTTAATTTTCATTTAAATTTTCTTGATATGCCTAGAAAAGTCAGTGAATTTTTTTTTCTGAAATTGAGTGAGAACCCTGATATTGTTTATTTATGTAAAACAAATTCAACTAATTTATGAGGTACAAATTCACAAACAAGATTTTCTTGAAATGAGAAAAATCATTTAAAATTCTTGAAAAATGATTAAAACAAGAAAGAAAAAAAATCTGAAAATTGGAGGGGGGAAAAGTTTCGAGAAAGCATAAATAATTCTCTATAAAGAAAAGAAAAAAAGTGCTGTTTGCGTAAAACAATTTAATATTTACTTTTCAGGCATATGTTTAAAATAGAGATCTATTAAACTGTCTTTAATTAGGATCCACTTTTGGAATAAAAAAAGGTCCTAGAAATTTGTAAATCTGGGTTCTGTGGACCCATAGTTGATAAAATTGACGTAATTGGTTAGTAGTAGATGGCAAAGTTCTTAATTTATGTTAACTATTGAAAATTCTCCTTTTATAGAAAAGTAATGTTATTTTCTTGTTGCCAAATAAATATAATATAAATTTAAACTATCAAGAAAATTAAAACAAAATATAAATCATGATTTTCACTGTATCTCATTTAACTTGGGTCTATGAAATCCAGAAATTATTTCACTAAAAATAAACTGAATCCTATAAATTAGTGAAAATAACAAATTATTGTTATTAAATGAAATTATGACAGTTCATTACAAATGGAGATTTAATTAAGTTATGGAGCTGTTGAGTTGGTACTAATTAAAATATTTGACTTTTCTGTGAGTCTGCAACTTGTCTTCAGTTAAAAAATTCCTTGAAAAAGTGGAAAATATTAATATTATTTATTTACTAAGTAAAACTTAACTTCTGTTTTTTTTTTTTTTTTTTTTTTTTTTNTTTTTTTTTTTTTTTTTTTTTTTTTTTTTTTTTTTTTTTTTTTTTTTTTTTTTTTTTTTTTTTTGGTATATTATAAGAATTGTGAGCATAATTATTTAAAATTGTAACATAAGAATTCAAAAAATTTATTTAAACAAATATATTTGTGTAAAAAATTGAATTTATGTTAAACCATTATAAGGAAAACATCACACATGCAAACTTTTATAAAAAATATTTTATCTTAAGAAGATTCTAAAATTAATAATCTTTTACAATTTCAAATTTATTGCCTTTTTCATTAATTTTGAAACAAAGACAAATAAGTTTTTTTATTTATGAATAATGAATAAAAAAAAAATTGTTCATTTATTATTGATTTTTCATTAATTTCCTATATTTATTTTAAATAGTTTCAACGGACATAGTCTTAAAAAATGTTCAAATGCAATAAATTTTATTTATGTCCATTTTTCAATTGTTGCACCTTTTTCTCTCTATATTATTTTTAAATAACTCAATCAAACATAGGTTTACAAATGTTCAAATGTTATAAATTTATTTTGTGATAAGTTATAAATTCAACTGTCTAATATTCATTAGAGTAATAACAGGGTAGCTGCAAAGAAAAGTGAGGAAATCTTATCTGAAAAATCAAGGAATTTAACTGTAACACCCAGCTATACTGCCATGCTGTGCAATTGGAGAAAAAAATGTGCTAGTTTACGAGAAATGTGACCTGACAACTTTTTTTTTCTATTGCTAATGCTATGAATCCTAAAATTAAATTTCAGAAAACTGATAAAACAAAATTTATTTTTGAAAAAATCGCTTTTGCATCATATACTTAAGTGGTGCCAAATATATAAAAATGGAATTTTTTGTCGCTTACATTGATTTTTCTATTGCTCAGCAGTATAAGGAAGGGAAAATTAACTAATTTAAGATACCTAAAAGTTATAGTTTGTTTTTATTTTTTTTTTTAGTCTTCAGCTTTAATGCCAAGTATATGAGTATGAGTTAATTTTAGTATTTAAACACTTATACTTTATGTACATAGTAAACAATGGAGGACTGATTGGTTTCAAAATTAAAAATCTCTGAAGTAAAAAGTCATAATGGTAGGTTTATTGTGAAAGCTGTTATCATTTTTTACAGAAACTTTGGAGTTTAGTTACAAAAGTTGCCAACAGATGGTGCTGTGTGTTGTCGAACACCAGAAAATTTAATTTTAGCATTGAAATATGAAAAGTTATTGTACAGGTACAGTTCTATTGAATATCCTGTTTCTGGTATGTAATGATTATTACATATTTCAGCCTTTCAGCATTTTTCTTTTTCAGAATATTGTTCAGAATTGAGCATTATCTGTTTGCAACTTTTGTAACTAAATTCCAAATTTTAGGTATTAAATTAGTACGATTTTCACATTAAACATACTGTTAGTTTCATTTCTCTATCATTTTTTGTTTCCGAGATTTTAAATTTTAAAGTGAATCAGTCCTTCACTTTATACCCTGTAACAGTTTAGTGTGTTTTAAGCATGGGTGTCACTCTTCAGTCCTGGGGATTGAAATCAGCCTTGAGAAAAAATCAGATTAGGTTTCATCACATTTCTTTTCCATTTGTTTTTAATATTAAAATTTCTATTTTTCCTTAAAAATGTAATAAATTTTCTTCTTTTAAATAAAAATAAGAATTACTTTTTAATGTAAACATTGTTAATTTTCATAATTCTTGTTAAATCATCAAGTAAAAATGTAGCTCATTAATGGAAGAATCAGGTTGAATCTAAACTCTTACTTGCTTAAACGAAATTTGTACCATTGTTGTATCTAAATTTTCTTGTTTTTATTTTTCCCCAAAGTTTTGAAATGCTGGCCAAAGTTAAATTGAGATTATTATTAAAAAACTATATATATTATAGAGATAGGATAAAAAAAATGAAGTGAAAAATCAGATATGTATATCATGAAAAAATTAGTGGTTTATTTATTATTCCGTGATTGATTCACAAGGTTAGCTATTATATTTTAATATTGTTTGCTGTAAAAAATAAATTAATAGAATGAAGAACAAAAAATTCTGTTGCAGATTTAATATATAAGTTTTTATCACAGTAAGATACATTTTAGAGTCTGTGAGCTATAAATTTCTGAAAATTCTAGTAAACAACTCTAGATTGCTTTAATTGATCCACAAAAAAAAAAGTTAAGTTTTGAAATATTTTTAAAGTGTCACTCTTGGTTTTAAGATTAAGGTATAATTAAAATATTAAGAGCAAAATGTACAGCACCCGTTACAAAAAGCAAGGAATTTCGATAAAATTAGTTTGAAAAGGTCTAGCTATTTTTGTTTTCTCCCTGAAGTGTTTGTGTCCCTCCTGAATATTTTTGTTTCATTCTTTAAATACGATTAAATATTTTTCTTCCAGATGTTGTTGCTTTTTCAAAAGAAAGAAAAAGAAGCCAAGCCGCCAGAAATGACTCGCAGTCACTTGTAGTCCTGAGCAAGAAGTTGTGTTACTGCACACTTCCCCATCAGATTCCAAGGAGAGTCTGAGCGTAAGAACTGCTACCGTCTGACTTCTTCACTGCATGGTTTTTTTTTTCTTGGCCGATCATCACTTATATCCCTTCCCCCCCTCCATGTTCTACTACGTAAATCGGCTACACACAAGCTGTGATTAACTTTTATTTTCCTTGTGAGAAAGAGAGAGAGAGAGATGAGAAGAAAATAAAAATTCTTTAAAGAAATTATAATAAATGTCAACCTCTCCTTGTTCTCTTGTGGACGATATTCAATTGCGCAGTACTTGTGTTTAGATTTGATACTAACAGAATTTACCAAAGTATATAGCCTGTTTGGAGAAGGAGAAAGAAGCCTCTAGTTTTTATTTTTAACTCTTATTCTAACCCCCCTATCCCTTTTCTTCGTACGAAATTTTTACACGAGTATTATTGAAAATTTAACTAGAAAGTTTTTAGATCTTTCTTCTTATGAACGAGAGGAATATTACGAAGAAACAACAAAAAAAGAAAGCTGGTCTTTTCATCCTTCTCACATGCAGGCTGCTATATAGTCAAATTGCAACATGAATAGTCATCAGCCTGTTTAACATCACATCGAAATGCATATTTCAATTATAATTACATAGTGCAGGGGTGCCAACTGTTATTGTAAATGTAGGGTCCAAAACAAGGAAAAGTCTCATTTCCCGATTTGTATCTGCATATTTTTTAAATGACGCTGTATTTTAAGATTCTTAAAATCCTTCAGAAGCTCTAATTCATAAAATTAGCTGTTAAAAATCAGTTCTTTTGAATTTTTCGCTCTTGATTATTTACCCTTTAGACATAATTTATTTTTGCTTTGAACTTGAAACTTGAGTTGTTTTCTCCATAGACTTTCATGTTTTTACTTTCAGCGGCTTATAAGCTGCTTTTGTAAAACTTTTAATATTATTAAGAGTGAGAGGTCTTAAATTTTTTACAAAATGTCATTTGTTACTTTATTTCTCTTCATTTCAATTAAAACCCTGTATTTTCTGGTAAATTTTATTTATTTTTTATGAGCGTTCTAAAAATTTTCGGGATTCAATAATTAATATTTATTAAATTGATGAAAGAATGAAATAGGCAAATTATTTTTTGTACTATTTGAGCCGCGAGTTGGAGCATAATTTCGCCTTTAATTTGTGCTGTATTCTGTCATTCTAATTGTTTAAAAAAAATTTTCTTTTTTGAAAATTTTAGTAACCCATAGATTAGTCTAAAATTTTTATTTTAACTGTTTTTTTTTTAAATAGTTTTTATACATTTTATTTCAAATATTAATTTTAACTGTTGAGTTTATGTAATATAAATTTAAGTTAATAATTTAAAGTTCTGTTCTTAAGCAATGTGTTAACCACTTTATAAAATGTTTTGTAGTAAAGAAACTTGTTCCCTTTCTAGACCGATTGATTTCTATACCTACAAATAGGCAAAACCTCTGCTCATTTAGTTTCCTAAAAAATGTGACTTATGCCCTTTCTGAATTAAATGACCTTTTGTTTCATTTTAATCACATAAGCTTTGATTGTTGGTATTCATACCTATTTTTTTAAATGAGTTAAGTCTTTAAATTCTTCAACTGTCAGTTGGCATCCCTGTATTTTAATTATAATTAATTAGTACTTCTTGGGTACATGGTGGGTAGAGTTTTCTGCATATAATAGCTTAATTATATTTTTGAACTTGTAAATTAGATTAAACACTTGATTATTATTATTATTTTTTTTCCAAATATATTAGTCTTTTTCTTGCCAAAATCTGCAAATATATTCATAACTTTAGGGGAAAAAAATTAGACTAGGCAATCATATCTTCAGATTCCCGTCAGATTTGATGGCAGCGTACTTGATATATATATATTTTAACTCTTATTAAATTCATATTTAATGAAGCATTAATAAGATGGCTTAACTTGTACATTTACCATTCAGAGAGCTGTCAGAATAATAATATTAATGCACATATGATTTGTGTCATTTTTTTCCCTTTTTTTTTAACTTCCTTTTTCGGTACCTGGAATTCGGGAATTTAAAGCCTCTTCAGTGTTACTCAAAATGTTGTTGTATACAGTAAATAAATTTATATATATAAGAAAATAATTCTCAGACCAGCATCTGCTATGACCTGGCGTAATTTTTTCTCTGTGTAAATAGAATGCTACATTATTTCTTCTTTTTTTTCAAACTCTTTTTTCTTAAATATTTATTATTTTCATTGTGAGGTGAGTAAAGATTCAGATTTATGATTTTTCTAAGACACTCTTGCTAAGTTTTTTTTTTCTGGCTGCATTGAAATATTTGAAGCATTCGGTGTTGAACGAATGTTTAAGTACATAATTAAATTCTTGTATGAAAAGTGGCTTTTGTTTTTAAGGGTTTAACCTAAATTTCCTTAGAATTTTAAATTTGTGTGATTCAAAATATTGTATTTTTTTATATTCTTTTATTTAAAAATGTTGTGAACTTTGACCAATAAAATGTAATAACACTACTCTTTTATATCTGTATCAAAAGATATGTTAAGATCCACCAGGGGTTACTTATTTAAAAATATTTGTTTTTATTGTTGGCAATATTCTAAAAACTTGAATTTGTCAATTGCTTAGGTGGCAGTAGATAACTGACTTATGTGATGAAACTATATTCATGAATGAACATGTTTCTTGAATTTGGAGTAACAATATTATGCTTTTTAAAAATGCTTATACATTTTGTTCTCAATAAAATCCAAGTTCCTAACTTTTGCTTTATCTAAATTACTAACTTTACATGCTTTCATCACTATTAAGTATTATAAACTTATTTTAAACCTTTTTTTTTTAAACTCTAATTTGTGAAAAAAATTCAAGCTAAATTTTAATTGCAATGTGTAGAATTTGATTAAAATGCGTCATAAGCTAACTGATTTAAAAAATAAAAAAAATTAAAATTTTTTTTTTTCTTGTTCAAACACATGGCTAATTTCAGTTTTATAAAATTGGCTTTTTTTTCTTCCCATTTCAGATGTCAGTTAGTTATTTGTAAAATTGTCTTCATATTAATAGCAAATAGACCCTTTTTATCTTTACTTTATGTATAAAAAATTGATCTTAAGAGGTTGAATATTTCTTGTAGCTATAGTAACTTTTGCGAGTCATTTTTGGGATAGTTATAATTTTTTTTCCATTCCACTGCTGAAACAGAATTAAACTGATTGAATCAAATTCTTAAGCTAAATTAAAAAATAAGCAAATAAAAATGTATTCTGTTGTAAGTGTCTGTATCAACCTCAAAGCATCTATTTCTTTTACATAGAGTACAAATGTAAGAAGAAAAAAAAAGGATTTGAAGCTCAAAAATATTACTTTTAATTACTTTTGTTTTGTGATTAATTAGTTCCTCTTTTTTTTCAATATTATCTAAATCCACCACCATTTTGTTTTGTAAAATTCATTTTTCATTGTGTAATTTTTTTTTGTTTAGCTCTGTGAACGTACTTGAATATTTGTCAGTCTGATTTTATACTTTAGACCAGTGCTAATTTTGAGAACCAAAAGTAATTTTTCTTTCAGTAACTTCAGTCTGGTTTAAAGCTAGAAAACTTTTTATTGAAATATATGTATTTCTTTTACTACATCTTATTTATTTGAACCGTATTTTTTAGATAAATTTAACGAGAAAATAAAAAAAACATTTAGTTAATTCAGACCAATCACTCCCAAATACATACATATGCATGCTTGGTTGTATAAATTCAATACATTTTGAGTTTTCTTTTCCATCCTTTTTTTTAGTGTCGAGGTTTTTAATTAAAGTGTAAATGCTCTTCATATATTTTAAGTATTTAAAGTGCCTATATTGTATTCGTTTTTCATGTTCCTTTTATTTAATTTTATCTTTTTTTTTTTATAATGACAAGCGCTCACATGTTTTTGTTTTTTTTGGGTTTGTGAGGTTTATTAGTCATAGTGTGAATTTGCATAAAACAATGCTGCTGTGCTCTTTATTATGAAGTAAAAGTGTTTTAGCTTTCCCATGGCTGCCAACACTGCTGGATTTTCCAGTAGATTACTGGATTTTGTCTGTTTCTTCCTGTTCTACTGGTTTAATAAAACTTGCCTGTTTTTTGTACATTTTAGAAAATTCTCTAAAATTGAGTAAGTTCCCTTAAAAAAATTCCTATTGAAATAGAATTTTTGCACAGCTTATTGCTTGAATATTTTAATAACTATCACTAAAACAATAATCTCATAACTATCTTTGATGAATTAAATGCCTATTACTATTCAAAATTTTGAATAAATATAATACAAACATAATGTTTCGAAAAATTTACTGGATTTTTTCCTGTCCATGTTGGCAGCTATGCTTTTCTATCTCAATGCAGGCTGAATATGAAGATGCTACCCCCCTCTCCGAATATTGTGTTGTAGGGGACCCAGGGGATAGTTAAAATTTGGCAAGCCTATAAAATGACCATTGTTTATATTTTTTTAAATCCTGTCTTAATTTAAACAAATTTCCTGAGTGGATTTTTTATTTTATTTGTAGTTATTTGTACAATCAATGATATTTTGAATGATTTGTATTATGTATAGATGGAATAAAGAAAGCTGTCTGAATCATCTGTTTGGTAATTTAATTTTATTTTTCGGGTTTACGACTACTAATGTTCAACTCCGCAGCCTTGTCGTTTTGAACCTAATCCAGAAGACTCCTGGATCAAGTATTGGGAGAAATTTGCTTTTGTGGAGGGAAATAACCCTCACCTGCTTTACATGGAGAGGAAAACCTCCCATGGTTAGGTCTGACAACAAGAGGACTCTAATCCGTCCCAACTCTGGATATTTTATGTCGGTGCAAGCCGAGTGTGGAATTTGTATCGACCAGTTATCGCTGGGATTCAAACCCGGTTTACCTCATTGGAATTTAAACGCTCTATCCCCTGAGCCATCACGGAAAGTCTTGGTATAATTCGAGCAATTAATTATTGTCCCCCCAAAAATTATTATTACAGTGAACTCTCACTTATGCACCGGGGCCAAGAGAAAAAAGCGCATAAGTGAAAAACTTCAAAATTCTGAAACGCAACGTAAATTGCATTGACAATATGAATAAATATGCTTCTAAAGATTAAATGTTAATATTTATACTGTTTTGGTATTTACTATAATTATACAAAGAAAAAATTTAACATACCTTAAGACAATTTATTTTCTTACAAAATAATCTTAATACATGTTTGTATTTGCCGAAGTATTTCAAAAACAGTTTTTTCCAGTTCATATAAATGGGATGAGGGTGAGTTTCAGAAGCTACATTAAATTGTAAATAGTCACGAATCGTGTCTAAAGCTTCCAATACTGCTGTGTGATTTGGAGGAACTTGATCATCCTCGTCAGTATCATCCACCACGTTCTCATCGTCCACAAGTGTTAGTTAGATATAAATGAACAGTTCTTCACAAAAAATTTGAGTTTTATGGGAGGGGGTGAAACATCACATGATAAATTTCTAAGAAAAGTACTTGACGTCATAATATGCTGCACAATAAGTTGTTCGATTACTACTGTCACTAACACCTTTTATTTACTCATAATGTCCATCTGACTCTTTCGTATTCCAGGTGTCTTTTTTCCATAGAAAACAGCATGGGAGTAAAACTAACCTCTGGACAAGTGGAATGGTCATTTTCTTAAAGATGAATGGGCTTTTATTGATGTTGGTGTAACAGATAAGACACCCTATTCGAAATTCTAGAAAGAATGTCTTTCCAGAAACAGCAAAAATGAAAAGGTCACAGGGGGAAGCAAATTCAATAGGATCTAACAACATATATTTCTTTTTATCTGTAACAAGGATTGCTTATTTGCTTCATTTTTAATTTAAAAAAATTTTTTTTAAAAAAGAAAAAATATTTAAAGGATAAAAAAATTTAAATGTTATCCTAAAATTTCGGTGCATAATTGAAAAATTTTTTTTTAGAGCGACGCATAAACGAAGGATGTTTATCATTATTTTCCTATCTAATGTACTGGGACCTATAAAAATCGCCGCATAAATGGTGCATAAGTGAGAGGTCACAAAAAAATAATCTGCCTCATAAGTAATGGGAAGCTCGAGATTTAATGGCATGAGAGTCAAAGCTTGACATTTTATTTTATATCCGACCCAATTTTTGGGCTTACGACTACTAATGTTCAACGCCGTAGCCTTGTAATTTTGAACCTATCCAGAAGACAGGGAAACTCCTGGATTAGTACCCCCAGAGGTATTGATTTGTTATGGGATTTGTTACTACACGGGGAGTCTTTGGCCGGCCGGGATCGAACCCACGAACTCTTGGACATGGGCCCAGAGCCCTACCGACCAGGCTATCCCGGCCTAAAGCTTGACATTTGTCAACAGATATTCCCCTTGCGCGCTCACAGTACCTTCATAACTAGTAAAATAAGCTATTTCGAAACTCTGCCGCCGGGGAAAAAGCCATAGTTTAAGTGCCTTATACTTGAAGCAATGCAATGATTTTATATTATCTATATAAACTTGTCATGAAGAATTATCTGGGCTTTGTTGTTGTTGTCGTCGGCCATTAAGGGTTACGATTGTTCTTATTTTCCAGTGGCGCCATCTATGGTCAAATATTCAATTTTTGCCACACCCGTTTATAGGGCACAGATCGTAATTTTAACCTGAACCAGAGTACGATCCATCTCCAATTCAGTACCCCCAGAGGTTTTGATTTGTTATGGAAACATGGAGGACTTTGTGACCCGACTGATTTAACGTGCACCAGTCACCATTTATTACACGGGAATTCTTCGACCGGCTGGATTCAAACTCCCGTGCTCACAAACGTGAGTCCATCTCCTTGCCAACCTGGCTATCCGGTCCTATTACCTGAGCTTTAGAACAGACAAATAACTTAAAATATTTTAAAAGTTATTAAACTTTTTTAAAAAATAACCAATTTGGCGAGATTTTTCCACCTAGATGGAAATTATGAAGACTACTGCCGTATTTTCAGTTTTTGCAAATTTTTATGAGACTAGGTATTGGAGTCATTTTTTTAAATATTAAGAAGTTAGACCACAAACGCTTTTCAGCTTCATAAAACAGTAGCTTTTCTCCGTGTTGACGTTTTGCACCATTTTCAAACTAAGCGTTGACAGCACTGCCTTTAGATGAGCTAACAGTCATGAGTAACGGTTCACAACAGTTATAAAAATAGCATATTACGATGAAGCTTTCGTAAAAGATCCGAAGGAGATAACACTTCGAGATTTGATGTAATCGTCGTCTAACAATCGAATGTTCCATTAAAATGAACCTTAAAAATATGTTGAAAATCCTACAGACTACGGCAAACAAACGCAGAATGACAAAATCTGTATGCAATAAGGCTACTTGTGGAGAACACACTTTCAGCATTTGCCAAGAGTGCAAATTCTTACCATATTTCTGTTAAGTTAGACTAATTTGTTTGATATAAGTATAGGAAATGCTTGTTTTTAATTCGTACTCTTTAGTCGTTTTACATTCAGTTAACTGGGGTTAAATGCACCCTCTTGGCTTTTTGGTTACTCTACACACACTTTTGATGATGGAATATCATTCAGATCAGCACAATTCTACTTTAAAAAAGAATTTCTATTGGATTAAATGAAAAAGCTCCTAAATTTTTAAAATCTTTTTATTCTTTTAAAAATTTAAAAAAAAAAATGCATTTAGTTCATTTTAGATATTATAATATTGTACAT